TACTGACCTTACTTGGCAGACGTTTTTTTATTGAGCTTGGATACCTTTGTTGTTTGTTATTGTATATATGCTCTATAAAAAATTCATTCATTCATAATCCGCACACAAACCTTATCCAGAAACTTTTACCCTTTTAAGGGCCTAAGGTGGAGGAAGGACGAGGCCAGGGCTGTGAGAGCGATATCAGGTGGCCGAGGGGTGGAACCACTTGTCCGGAAAATAGCCTCCTAACAGCTGCCATACTATAACCAACTACCGGAAATCTACTGCCCGAGCTGTCCATGGCCATTTATATCCTGAATTTAAAAGTAATGGATGGTAAACAAATGCTTAACACGACTGTCCCCCTCGAAAAAAAAAAAAAAAAAAAAACGCCTGAGTTGCGGCACATGCCGTATAGATATACACCTTTCAACAGACATTTTGAGGTGCAACTGAACGATATATCGATATCGAGATCATTTAAAAAATGACGCTTTACAAAATCATACGGGTACTACTTCCCATTCGCTACCCCAAGATGACACTTGGTTTCAAGATCATCCAGACGTTTCACAATAGATTTTTCCCACATTCAATAAAATGAGATTTTGATTTTTAAAGCTACAGTTCTATTTTTAAATTACCCAAATCTGTTAATTTAAAGCCATCTTATATTTTTCTATTTTACAGTAACAAATTTATTCTTAAGAAATAAAGCTTAGATTATTCATATTTTGAATATAAATCCAATATGAAAAAAATTTAAGTTTCAAATATCAGAGGAACAACTAAATTTTTAATAAATAATAATAAATGATTTTATTTATCATTGTGTAGAATCATCACCTAGTTTTATTATAGATATCAAATAACTTATATAATTAAATAAAATTTAAGTTATTGCTTAGGGGAATGAACCTATATCCAGATACACAATTTAACCTTTATACCTTTAAATAGTTTTAAACATGTAGTGATATCCCGAAACTCATGAACACCCTAGTTTAAGCACACGAGTGAATTTCTGAAGTGTTTTTGCATTTGGATTAAAAAATTTGAGAAACTAAAAATCAGATTTGCATAATATAAGCGGGTGAAATGTTTACTATTTTCTCTGCTTTGTAGTGTTGACCAAAACCGCCTATCTGTTGCTAGACCAAGACCCAGACTGATAAAAAAAAATCGATTTTTTGATTAATAAAACTAATTGTTATGGATTAGTTACTAATACTTGACAATCTTAGTTACTATATGTTAATAATTGGTATGACCAATTTACTTTTACACTTAACTCTTCTAATTTTTCATTCAGGCTTAGTTCGGTTTCTCATATCTAAACAATTACAGTAATATCTCTCTAGTAATAAGCTGATAGGTCACTGCAAGATTGTTACGAGAGTCTTGCGCAAGACCAAGACTGCGTTTGCAAGATCAAGACTCGTATTGGTCTCGCATTTGGGCAACACTACTGCTTTGTAATGAGCTATTAAACGAAATTGTATCTTAACGTGACGCCGTGTTTGATAGGTGAAAAAGAGAACGAGGTTTGTTTAACATATCGATTATAACGTCTCAGAAAAATGAAGTAGGACCAGCTACTGTAAGCACAGGCGGATTTAGGGGGAGGGGGCTTTCGGGCTGAAGCCCCCCAAAATGGTAAAATGTAACCATGTTTTATGGTAAAAAATTATGTCTTAAAGTATTATTGCTCGTTTAATTACATATAATAGTACTTCAATAATCACTTAAACACCATTTCATATGGGTGGTTAGTTTCTTTCTTTTTTTCCAAAGTAATTATCGTAATTTTTATGAAAAAAAAAAAACTTTCGGGCTGAAGTCCCTCTCCCTCCCCAAAATTAAATCCTGGATCCGCTAGTGGTTTAGAAGAACAGCACTCATTGTAAATAACCATTATAAGAATATTGTTTATCATGAAAAAACTAGAAGTCTAATGAGGGTAACTTGTTTCGTATACCGTAAATACAGAATCTTACATAATACATATATTTTTTTTAATATCAAAGACACTTTTCAAGAGAGATATGGATCTTGGTCCGTGGCACAGACTCTTTTTTTATCAAATGATTAACATCCGACTGAAACTTCGTCAATAGCTTCATCTAATCCTAACTAGAAATATTTTATTTACGAAAATTCTCGGAATTAGGACATTTTCAATCTGGAAGTTGGCAAACATCGTCTATTTAATAAGATTTAATTACTAAAAGCTCGTACATACCCATTTGATTTCCACTTTAACCGCAAGATAACTTGAGCAAAAAGTCGAGAAGAAAGGAGGCCTTCAAAAATATTGAGCCGTTTTGGCATAAATAACCTCCATAATTTGACAATTTGTGGGTGTAGGTCACACCAAACGGCTCAAAATTTTTGAAGGCCCCTTTTTATCTCGATTTTGAGCTCTAGTTATCTTACCATTAAAGTGGAAAACAAATGGGTATATACGAGTTTTTAGTACCTAAATAAATAATTAAGTTTGACGACTATTTACGAAGTTTCTGCCGGATGTTAACAATCTGATGAAAAGGGGTCTGTAACACAGACTGTTTTAAAAACCAATATTATATAATGGGCCGTGATGTTCATGAGATCTTTTACATTTTGGCCACAAAAATCATCATGTAGACATAGACATTTTAAATTGACGACTAAGATGGGCTAGTGAGATTTATCTGATTTTTAGTAAGTTATTCGTGTTGAGAGTTTCGAATGTACGTTGTTCTTTGTTTTTTTAAAGACCCATAAACATTACAGTTAAATAACCAAAACGTTATTTTCATAAATTAATATTTGTGAGAAATTGGAACGAATTCAATTAAAAGGCATAATAATAAAAACTTCACACTTTCCCGCATTATTTCCTTCGTTATTATTAAACGTATTCTAGTTAAGGAACAGCTTGAAAAGGAAGATGGTGTTTTCTTGTTGATATTTCAACCTTCCAAAAAAAAAAAAAAGGAAAGAGTTTTGACTGCTTAATGATAATGCTTGTCTCAAAGGAACACCTCCACTTCGGTTGCCATTTTCCTGAAGACCTTGAAACACTTCGTGAATTAACGTAACGTTGGTACAATATGTCCATATGTGGGTGAAAATTTATTGAATCTTGAAAAAATATATTATTCCAAGAGAATAATCCGTGATTCTTTATACTTAAATAGTGTGTATTAACTTCTTAATTATTTGGTCGGTTAAATTTTTAAAAAATTTCTTAATAAAATATATAAATTTTAAAAAAAAATGTTTTAATATGCTATATAATATCAACAACCCTCAAAACGTTAAGGACAGCTTTTGTGTTAGTAAAATAAATTTGTTCAAGTTATACCAAAACAGATTTCTGAAAATTGTTTAAAGACACAAATAAAGAGCTAAAATCATATTATCATTATAAAAATGATTTATATGTAACATCTTGAGAAGGATATCTCAACCGAAAAAATAAATATCATATTGAATGAATAACATATTTCATAATTTTTCAGAGGAAAACATACAAATAACAGGAAAAAGAGATCATGAATGTAAATATTTTCAAAATTATATTTGATTCATGAATCCTTAATTTCATAATGAATATTTAAGAAGTTATATTAACAATTTTTTCAACAATCTCTCTTCCAAGAAAAATTGATACCAACAATTCTTGATTTAAGCCACGTAAATTGGTGATAATGGACAAAACAAACTTGATAAGTAAATTACCAAAATGAGAGTGGAAAGAAATAGCATCAAAAGGAAAGAACACAAATTACTATAAACAAGGTCATATGATCTCGAATGAGGTATATTCCGATTGTCAAAATAGAATTTTTTTTTAAAATATCAAAAAAGAGATATTTTAATATTGAAATTTTAAAACAGTCAATAATAAATTATTTAAATGAGTGTCAACTCAATTTTAAAGAATAGTAACACACATATATACTTTAAATCAAAAATTATTTTTTAATCATTTATAATTTTTTGATTTATGGAATTTCAAAAGTAAAAACTAAAATCAATGCTAGAAATTAATAAATAATATTTATTATTCAAGAGCTCTAATTGCATATATATATTTATAATAATAATTATAAAAAATATATATATTGTGTATTATAAATATTTTTTAAATCATTAAAATTAACAACTACTGCAATCCCATCAGACACATGATACTGTTTACTGATATGAAATAAAGAAATGACATATGTAAACTCTTTCATAAAAGGAAATAACTCTGTTGTAGACAATAAATAATAATAAAGTGATATTGGAGAGGCAATACAGAATTTCAATTTTAAATGTCCTTTAAATTAAAAATTGACAACAAAATACATCCAATAAAAAACAAGAAAAAAAGTAATTAAATGAAATTGATGATCCTAGAAAAACAAATATCAAGATCCTTTTAATATTTTTTTTTATTAATTGTGAATATCATATAAAGCTTAAATGTTGTATAATAAATTTAAGTGTCCTTTTTACCACTATTCAAAATATGAAATATGCAATAGTTTTTAAGTTTTTTTAAAAATGAAAATATGAATTTAATACATGACCTCTGAAATATTCAATCTTGGTTATCAATTATTTTTAAAATATCTGTCAATTGTTATGACAAGCTGATAACTGTGACCAAACTCATGAAAATCAAAACCTTTACAAGAAGCAAGCTATAGCATGATTGTATCAAAATATACGCCATTTTTAATTGTATATTTTTAAAAGTAACAACAAAATTGACAACTTTAAAATATGTGAAAAATGTCCTAATGGAAATAAATCAGTGTATCAGTTCTTTCACAACCGTCTGGGCATGAAAACGCGATTTGTATCGACGGGAAACAAGTTATAATTGAATTTAAATTCTTCAAAAATAAAATGAGTTAAATAGATAACAAAATCAAAAAGTAGTTCTTCATTTTCGAAGGAGGCGAGAAAGAGTCATTCAGCATAAATGTCAAAATAATTGACGTCTTTAATAGATCAAAGTTGGAATTGAATCGACTCACCTAAAACTTCTTGTAGAGTCTTTTCATCAAGGAAAACATCCATTTCTGTCGTTAATAAAAACTACATGGTCAAAAATCTCCTGCGCCGTGAAACTAACACTAAAATGACAACACCACTGTAACAGACATGAGAAGGTAACTGGCACTAAAACATGGCGTTGAGAAGCAACAGGTTACTCAAGCAGCTTCCCCTCTTACCCACATTAAAGTTACATTGCTTTACTCCAAGAAAATTTTATAATTTTTTTTAAGATATAATTTGTACTTTATATAATTGTAACAGCAATAAATAAGGAATAATTATGTAATATAATATGACATCTAAAAGTTTCTTTAAAAAATGTTCATATTAAAACACAACTACTTTAAAGTATTATTAAAAACTATTAAGTCATTTAACTAATAAAGTATTAATATATTTCAAGAACTAAAATACTCTTATTCAAACTAACATACATATTTTATCATATGTATTTCTTCTTAATTATTTGCTAATATAAGTAAATACCAGATTTTCCACAATTATTTAATTGAGATAAAATTCCTTGTCAATAAAAAATCCTTATGAGGGTGATTCTATAAAAAGTGACCTATTTTGCAACAAAAAAAAAATCTGGTTTGAATCTATTTTTTATTTTTATAAAGTTACTTAAGTCTATTTATAACTGGTCGAACAGGGTTCATATTGATTTTTTTTAAATATCTAATCACAATTTTGAAGCATTGAAATAAATGACTAATCATAACGATTACAGGCGGATCTATGGGTTGAAGCCCTCCCCCTCCGATAAAAATATAGTAAAATATATCCATGACTTATGAAAAAAATATTAAAAATATATTGAATATTTAATAGTTGACCGTTGCATTATAAAGGAAGGAGATGGTCCAGGGTTGCAGTCATAAATAGGCTAAATAGTGGTGAAACTATTTTATTGAAAGCCGACATTTTGTAGAAGTATATTCACATTTTCATTTATTATATATTACACTACAATTGTTAGCATCTATTTACTTCAGTTTAGGATCTTGTTACTCAGCTTACTTTGTTCATATTTTATTGTACTTACTGTTTATAATTTTAATAAGCTTATTCACATAGTTTATAAATTATGTCAAAATATTATGTAACTGCCACAATTCTCTATCTATCGCATCTTGTCTGTTCTAGCCCTGATGAAGACCTGCAAAGTCGGGTCGTAACGTCGCCCTTCAATAAAATAGTTTTACCACTATTTAGCCTATTTATGACCGCAACCCAGAACCATCTCCTTCCTTTATTAAAAATATATCTCTAAAATAGACAGACAACTATGCAAAAAGGTATACAAAACAAATAAAAAATAAACATTGTTAAATTGGTTTTATGCGGCTTAAAATCATGATTGAATGAATAACACCAAATAAAAACAATTACTTGCCAAACCAAATTCTGCCTACCATATGATGTCAAGATATCAGCTATGGCAATTCTGCCGAAAAATACCTTATTCTTGAGGATTTCAGAAGGAAACATGTGACACCATTTTTCAGGCTTCCACAACTAATTGATTTTTTTTTTTCATTTAGATTACCATTATTTGGTAGCTGTAAATTTATTAGTACAGAACAAAAATATGAAGTAATTTCCAACAGTGAATATGTCCAGAAATAGTTTTCATAAACTTCGTAAGTATTTTCAGGTGAAAATCAGTTGTATAACCAACTAATACGTGGTCAGACAAATTTCAAATTTAAATTGATCATGATGGATAAGAGATATTTTGCTAGCATAAATTTTAGGCCGCCAAGGCACTTGGGCTGGAGGTGAATGAAAGAAAAACTATAAACTCTTATAGGTATACTTATATAGGTATGAGCTAGACTCTGGCAGCCATATCTTAACTATTGTGATGTAGCTCCATTCCCACAATTATCTTCTTAAGTATACATCAGAAAAATTTGGAACATTTTCTGATTTTATTCTTTTTACTGAATCTATACAAGCAAATACAAATTGAAAATTTGTGCAAGTATGTAATACTATCAAAAAAGACCTTTTCTTATCCACAGTCATTTCGGTGGCTTTAAATAAAAATATTGGGGATGGGGAAAATATTAGTAGAGCTTGGCCCTCTTAACTGTATAATTTATCTTGGTGCTACAACTCGGTGACGTGTCGTCCTGCACCAGCTTCCTCCAGTCATCTCTGACTCGCAGCATATCCCGTGACCTGACCACCTGAGTTGTCTTCCCCTTCTTCTAATGCCGTGGAGTGGTTCCGTCAGAAGCATCCCTTTTTAAGGATTGCTTCGTCATCCACCCTAACCATATGGTCTGCCCGTCTCAGTCTCCCAAGCCTCATTTTTAGAACAATATCTTCTTTATCAAAAACTGAACAAACTTCGATGTTCTTCCGCCTTCTCCAGCCTACATCAATATGAATTCCTCCAAAAATTCTTCAAAGAATTTCTATTTTGAAAACTATGAGGTCTTGTTCAATTATCTTACTAGTTGTCCATGTTTCAGATCCATACAACAAATCTGGGTGGATTAATGTTTTGTAAAGACGAAGGCCAAAGTAACACCTGTTGGCCATCAGTATTCTTTTCTTCACCTCAACCTCAGATACATTATAGTGAGTCAGCAGTGGCCCCAAATATGTGAACTGGGCCACTTTCTCAAAATTATAGAAGCCAATATTGATAGTCTCACCAGGTTGGGGGACTTCTCCTGTGGTCATATACATTCATAGTACATAAACTTCAGTTAATCATCAATCATGTGGTTGCTTGGCCACCCCGCTCCCAAAATCTGTACCGCTACAGCCATTGAGTCATCAGTAATTTATAAGGAAGTACTATTTAAAGGTCAACAGCTGTGCAGGAAGGTAATAGGAAGGGCAGGAAAACGCTCAACCCCCAGGTTTGTCCTCTTAAATATTAATTTTATTAAGAGCATCTCCTTTATAGAGAGGCGAAGTATGCCCCAGAAGGGTCTCTTGACCCCAGGGGCGATTCATGGTAGTTAGAAAATTACAAGTCATCAACCAGATTCAAACCTGGGACCTTGACCTAGCTTAGTGGGAAGTCAGTGCCTTACCACTAAGCTACCCCACTCATTCCATTGTATTTTGTAGTTATAAGCTTAGAATAGTGTTTCCAGCTTTAAAACATTCATCTTATTTCATATAAAATAAACCGAACAATTTTTTTTATTTTTTATGTCTTTCCCAACCTCACCTTTTAGGGTATAAGGAGTTTTCCCAGGCCAGGGGACGAGAGAAGGAGATTAATGACAGAGTTAAAAGCCGAGGAGGCAAACACGAGTTATACACACGCATTAGCCCTCTCAGCCATCCTGCTCCCATTAATTTATAATTTATTTATCAGGTTGCCGGGCAACACGTGTTTTGCACATGTGTTAGCTCGCTCCGCTACCTCTCTCCCTAAAACAATACCCCTAATCAAACATTCCTCCGAAACTGATTTTCTCATCTTAAAATACAATAACCTTATAAAAAAATGTTTTTCCCAAATTTTATTTTAAACAGCTTAAATCAATTTACAAATTTGAAAATAAAAAAAACTTGTAGATTAAAGAGACAATAGTGATCTAGTCTATTTAACAGAAAATCATTAGTTGTGAAAAATCCATTGCTACTCAATTAAATAATGAAGACATCTCTTTACTTTAAAATTCTATAAATAACACATTCTTGAGCTAAAAAAAAAATTGTTTGATAAAATTTCAGCTTTACCTTTCTTAAAACGTTATTAAGATTATCCATCACGTAATCTAAAGTGGGTTAACATATCCTTCAGCCAAATTCCCACCTTTATTATAACTTGTTATAATATGTTAACAATATTCTTAGTTAGAAATAGAAATAGAAAAATCATCTTTATTCTGGGACTAGGTCCCTTTAGAATAACAGTATTGTTCATATAAATTAACCATAAATTTGGCCAAAAGACCTATTACAATGAATAATAACAAAATACTAATAATAAATTAAGTATAACATATACTATAGCATAATTAATTAATTAAGTATAATATATAATATACTATAGCTCTTAGGATAAATTAACGAGAACAGTTGGGTAATAGGGGTTCAGTACTACAATATTGGAGCCAAAATAATAGCATAATAATCACTGAATGAAATTAGAAAGTAACGCAAAATCAATTTTATAGGCAAAGCATTGTAGTGATGGAATATAAAAATTTTAAAAAAATAATAATAACTATTGATATGTAAAGAAACAAATTGTAAAAAAAAAAAAAAAAAAAAAAAATATATACATATGTTCCCTAAGATATTTAAGTGATTATGTGTAAAGATTAGGAGGACACAATAAAATAAAGTGTATATATATATATATATAATATATATATATATATATATATATAGCGAGGAGAGTGTTGAAGATAATTAGAAAATAAAATACATTTCAACGAAACACAATCTCATGAATAGAAAAATTAAGAAAAACAAATTTTATCTACTCACAATGCTTAGTGAGTGGTGATGAAAATTCATGTTCAACACAGAATAAAACAATAAAAAATAAGATAAAAAAAATAATGTCTAAAGAAAATTAAAGCCTTATAACATAGTATGTATTTAACCAGCGTCTAATTGGATTGTGAAGAGGAATTGAAATAAGAGGGTTTTAAAGGTGGATAAGGATGATGCATGGCGGATTTTTAGTGGGATGGAATTTCAGAATGCTGTGGAACGGAGAATGTTTAAATGATGCAGATCTGTGGAAAGGGGTGTAAAGGTCAGAAGGACGAGATCTTGTGGAGAAGATGTGGATAGATGATTTGAATTGTAGGAGATTGTATGCGTAGGACGGAGAATGACTATTGATTATTTGGTAAAGGAATGTGCCTAGGAAATATTGTCTTCGGAAGGAAGGGAAGAGCCATCCTAATTCAGCATAGTGGTGCGAAACACGGGAATACCTCAGGGCCCCTGTGACAAATCTTACGAAGGCATTCATAATTCTTTTCAGTCTCTCCCCGAGTTCTGCCGAGAGGCCACCAAACACCATGCTGCCGTAATCAAGGTGAGGGAAGATACTAGGAATCTACATGTGGGGATGGGTAGATGGCGGAAGCGATGGAATAGTTTCAAGGTACAAATTGACCGTCGGGAAATGTGAGCAATATATTGTTTCCAGGAGAGGGTTTGGTCTAGGAAAATGCCTAGGTTTTTTACTGAGGAGGTGAAGGTGATGGGATGGTCATTTAGGTACAGGATAGGTACAGGATGTTGGTATTGGCTCTGAGAAGGGGTTTGGAACCAATAGTTATGTTATAATATGTCAACAATATTCTTAGTTATATTTGCCTCAGGCTAATACAGACACTATACACAACGAATAGGATCGGAGTCGGAAGATCGGAGTCAATAGGGATCAACCTAGTGGAACCAAGTACACTTTTATAATAATTGGAAACATTCCAACCACACAGCCTTATCTCTGTAAAATGCAGATAAAAAATAAAAAACCTGTCAACATTGCACTGACTCCGGCTTCACAAAGACAGAAAAGACGCGATTGGATGTCATGGAGTGATGTGATGTTTGATTTGCTCTTGGTTGCTGTTGAATTTGGTTAATAGGCAAATTGACAGGTTTTTTTAAATTCTTTACTTGCATTTTGGAGACATTACTCCATGTGGTTGGATTTTTTTCATTTATAACCTCACATTGAATTTCTGTTCCTCTGTGAGTTTTATACTGACTTATATTAAAATATTCTTAGTCACGACCCTATTGGTATTGACAAAGAGTGAAGGGATCGCGTCTGACAAGAGGGCCTATTAGTCCTTTTTCCCTACCGGAAACAACCAATGAATGAATCATTTTGTATCTCCTGGACTTCCTAACAGAAGCCAGAAGGATCCCAGAGCGCTTGATTCTGAGTTTAATTCCCACCTGAATTAGTTAATATTTATTTCTCAGCAGTACTGGTACATGAATCTTGACACTTCCACTCTAGTATGTGACAGCAAGCTCAAAAACTACCACAAGGCTCATTTAACAAACTAACGTCCCGCACCAATATAGTTCTCAGCAAGGCTAACGGGTTATTCAGTAATTAATAAATAAGTAGTTCTAATGTATAATCACTAATTTATAAAGAGGATTATTTAAACACCAAAAAACAATAACTTTATAAACTCATTATTTATATATATCACATGTTTGCTAAAACAGTGCTAACTTCAACAGAAAATTCAAAAGATAATAACATTGTTTTCATTATTTTACATTAAAGCCAACAAATTATTGTAATTTTTACAATATCGTAACAGATAATTAATCAAAATTGATTTTAATTTCATAATTTTATCAATTATTAAATATTTAAGGCATAATAATCAATCAACAGTGATAGTAATTAAATTACTAAAATAAGAAGCATTTAAAATAATAAATTATATTATTTTAAAAATACTACAAAATGGAATAAGAAACGCCATAGCAAATGATCGACAAACTAAATTTTATCAATTAAGAACCTGACGTATAAGGCAAAATCACAGTTGTTTAATATATAATCTATATATTTTTTTTTTACAATTTATTTTTTACAAAATTTATTATTTCTTAACTACATATTTTTTAAATATATATATATTTCTCTAAAAATAAAAATATAAAATTATATAGACATTGCTGTTCATTATGTTTGACATAAAGAACAAAATGATTGATAAAATGCTTCAACTTAAATACAATATTCTGAAGAAGTTTCTAAATTTTAAAGGCCATTTTAAATTGTATGCTAGAAAGAGTAAAAAATATGCATCGTGATGAAAATATTTGATGAGATTTTGAATGCAGCGTTGCATTAAAAAAGAGATTATACACGTAACAATTTTCACTGGTAATAAAACTTTATTGATTGTTCTTTGGAGTAATGGTAGCCATACTGAATTTTGGCAGCGTTAGGCCAAATTTGGTTTCAATCCCAGTTAAAATTGGTATTGCGGCTTGGTACCTGAAACGAATAATTTTATCATTACATAGAAGAAATGAATTTTAAATTTTTTTAATAATACAACTATGAGAATGATAAATAAACAGCATTTGGAGTCTAGATATGGTTTCTTAGGCTTGCCGATGTTTTTACCCAAGCATCTTGGTCATCATCAGGGAAATGATTAATGTCTTGTCTAGCAACAAGACACATCACCATCCTCATAATTCAATATAATTTTAAAATAAAATAATTAAATGTGTTTTTAATATAAATGATCTACAACAATCAAGAAATCAATTGATTTTACTAAATAATATAAATTAATAGCAAGCCTAAAAAGACACCACAAGAGCAAACATTCAGTTTCAAGTTTATAATAAAATTTTTGGGATATATTCTTACATATTCTTAAATATAGATATAGATGATAATAATAGTATATATTTTTAGGCATAGTGAAAAATGAACAGTAAGAATAACACAATATAATCTACCAGCTAGGCACTTCTATATAATTAATAATCCAATTATATAGTAGCTAGATAAAAAATAAAACAGTAACTATTACTAATTGGAATAAGTAAATAAAAAATTACTAAGGACCGCTTGAACTGATCTCACCTTGATGTTTATATTTTATTTTAACAGTACATTGTTGTATAAACCTCAAAAAACTGACTCAATACACTTGGAATATTGATTAATTATTGTTAAATTAAATAGAGATTAACTATCACTAATCAATTAAATGTTAAATTGTAAAATATAATGTTCAATAAGTCTATTTAGATGGCTTGAAAATGGCGAGAAAGCCGAAACATTGTCATACTTCTAGAAATAATAAAGGTTCGGTGAAATGTATACAGTCCAGAATATTTTAGAAACTAAATCAGAATTTCACCTTAAACATTAAAAAAATATGAATAAATATTCTTGTTAAAATATTCCATTGAAACTTTTTGATTGTAGTTTTTTTACTTGTTCCAGTAATATTTGGAAAAAATTCCATAAATGCTAAAAATGTACTCATTTAGAAATTAAAGAATGTCAAATTGTACATCGAACGAGTACCTAAACATAATAATTCATTCAAGTGGTATGGTCAACTAACACTGATTTTTACAGAATTTGTCAAAAACTGAGAAAAATTCCATAATTGACAAATAAACGGTTCCGCAGCTTCGTAATAAGTTCCCTAAGAGATAAAACTCATAGAATAAATGTAGAGCATCAAATTTCATGTCCACCAACTACCAACAGTTCTTAAATAGATCACCAACCCTGCTCGAAATTGGAAATCTCACGATGACTGGATATCGGTAATGAAGGTATGTGCGATTTCCAATATTTCAATATTAATCATATGGGTGTCTATTCTATTGAGTTATTCTTTTTTGGAGTTTGCTATATGCAAGGCATCTTTTCCACCTCTCAGCAGCAAAGAATTTTGAGGATCAACAAACCGAATTTCATGAAGAAACAACAAATCCTGATTCGAGAAATATAATTGACATACATTATGTCTGTTGTTACTCAGTGGATGCAGAATTTGATGCTCTACAAATTGTAATATATGAGTTTTTCTCTTAGGAAACTCATTTCCGAGCTGCAGGTAAAAATCAGCAGTCATTGATTGTGGTCTACTAATATACCACTTAACCAAATTATTACGATTAGATACTTCTTTGACACACAATTTAATGTTCTTTCATTTCTTAATGAGTACGTTTTTTGCTTTGATGCACCGTTTAGGAGTTATATTGAAAAAACAACAAAAAAAGATCGAAACAATCTGGCTTTTTTGGCTGTAAATTAGAAGTTTTCCCTGGATGGCAAGCGTTAAAAAATAAGAACTTTTCCCACATTCATCACAATATATGGTACTTTTTGTCTAGCGGGGCAGCACGAAACCTCACTTCTTATCTATCTTATCTAACGTCATGTCACATAACCTCCCTCTTCTTATCCCGCCAAACCTTTGAGTTATTGCATTGTTTAGTTTTCAGTTATTCCCTTATTACGTTCATGTATTAAATTCTTTACTTTTGTCCCGTTTGTGTTTAGTTTTCATTATTTTTAGTTTTTGGCCCGTTTGTGTTTATTTTTCATTTTTTTTTTTTTTAGTTTGTGGCCCCTTTGTGTTTATTTTTCATTTAAATGTAAAAAATAAATTGTACATATGTTGTTTATAGTGTTGATATTTTTTCTTTTCTATGTAAATATGTTTTTTAAATGTATTTTTAATATATGTTTTAATATATATTTAATATATGTTGTTAATACTATATAATTGTATATTAGTTTTTGAAAATTGTCTGTAGCGATTAATAAGTATGCTGTGTTTAAAGCAACCCAATGTAATTGGGCAGCACCCTTTTAAGATAATAAAGTGATTCTCTCTCTTCATTTTCATCTTTTATATCTACATATGTTCTTCAAGTGTTTTTTTATTATTTCAGTTTGATGTCTTATATGTACATATCTTCTTAAAGTGTTTTTTTATTATTTCATTAATATATGTGTCGTAAAATAAAAGTATTTTTTTTGTTATTACATTTGTTTTTGTATCTGTTTATACTTTCAATAATACGAATTTAATACAATAATACAAAGATATGAAGTAGGAGAAGGCTTATCACTGCGTTATGGGAGTTATCAGTGTTGAGGTTATAAACATTGGCAGATAGCAGTCAGTGGCGGCCTGCTAGACAAAAAGTACCCAATATATTTCCTGTTTAGATCTTCAAGTTACTGACCTAATATTCTTTAAATCTGCAGTCATTTTTGAAAGCAATGGGACTGAATTGGGGGACAAGGTTCATTTTAATTAGGATAACCTATATTACCTTTTACAATTTATATTCAAACCTTCGCCTGCGATGAGGTCCATTTTTGGGTTTAAAACAACTAGGGGCGATTTCCGGTATTGTAATTATACACTTGGTATAATTTTAATAATATATAAGGACAGCAATGTTGCAAATGCTTTCAAGCACAATTTTATTAGAAAATGTGGTTTTAGTTTTCTGGTCTATCTTTGTCCCTATTCAGAAATACAAAACCAAAAATGTTATTTAAAATAAAACATCTGTCTTAAACAGCAATACAAATTAGACATAAAATCTAGTTCATAAAATAAAAAATATAGTTTATTTCTTTGCCTTGGAGTTAAAGAATACCGTGTTCATTTTTTTATTATATACTTCAGAAACAAAGAAACAAACTTTAATAGCTCAAAGTTGTGTCAAGTTAACAAAGTCAAGTTTCACACTTACGCTCCTATTTTATAAGATTCTCATAGTTTTAGTATTCTTTCATAAATTTCATGACTTTTTTTAAGTTCAAAAATTTCCTGAACTTTCAAGCTAATTCAGGTTCAGAGACAGCTTGATCTATTGCCTAAGTTATGGACTGCATTTATATAAATAATAAATACAGATTACAAGATTACATACCCTCCAATGTGTTCAGGATTGTGAGGTATGATCTTTTTCTCGCTAGGAGCAGAGACGACTACTTCCGAACCTGCTGGCCTCCTGTTTAGATTTTAAAATAATTAGATAAAAATAAATGAATATTCGATAAGCCTAACACAGCAAGCAAGATGTGACTTATATCATAAGAAATGTTTAGAGGTTATCAAAAAAATAGGCAGATCTCATAAGCAGAGCCCAGATTTTAATCAAGTAAAAACCAGTAGAATATGCCTTATAACATATCCTAAAAAAAACCTAAAATATGCAACAAAAAATTCATAGATAAAGTAGTTAAAACATTGAAACAAGATAATGTTGTACCTAATACTAAGAAATCAAAAACATAACGACAAAAAATAAACAATATTTAAAAAAAAAATTGTATTCATTTATTGATATTTATAACTGTATACATATACAATAAGTAAAACTGCTAAAACTTGTAAGGAAACTACCCATTGGTAGCACTTCAAAAATTAAAAGCCCCTTGGCCATCTTCTTTTCAGATGCCTCGGAGGGTTGTCAGAAACTGTTTTGAATGAAAAGTTATGAACTAGAGGATTGAGAGGACCAAAGAGTTTGGAATTAAAAGAGGAATATCTTGTTCAGACCAAGTCTTCAACTAAGGAAATGTTGAGGTCTTGAATAATAATTTAATTTGTGACATAATAAGGAGCATTACAGAGGATTTTGGATTGCAAGGATTGGATACCGGATTAAAAAAATATATATATAAACTAAAAAGATTACTTACGTGCCACCAAAATCGATGTAAAGATACCTTTGAAGTAACTCGTAAGTTATTAAAGTGAAACCAAACTGGGGGGATGACCTCACAACTCTAGCTGTGAAAACAAATAGTATTAATATTAAAATACCTTACACTCCAGTTCAAAGATTAGATAATTAGACTTTGAAGAAAGGAGAAATATTAATCAAGTGTTGTAATGAGACTAAATAAAGCAATTTAAAATTTTATGATAAATTAAAATTTATCAAATTCTTTAATTTCAGGAGTGTAAATATTTGTATTAAAACGGAATTTTCATTTCAAAAATACACGTTTAAAAATATTTTGCTCGAAATATTGGCCATTGCTAGCTATATATTTGTTCCATCGAAATTCATCAAGCCATTTTCATATATTTTTATAAGTGAAACACTGTTTGAGTAAGCCACATGCTCTAATATTTCCCAATTGAATGTCTAAATCATTTCATGGAGTGGGTTTGCTGTGTGTGATGGCGTATTATTAAATCTAATGGCGTACTAAATCACTTTGTGCTGTATTTTTTAATATTCTGGCTGTTATTCACACAATACTCTATTTGAATCGATCATTTCAGTATTAATATTGATAGCATTCAGTATTAATGGTTTCGTTAGGTTTTAGCAGTTCAAAATAGATCACACCATTTTTTCAGTTGCCTTCCACATTGTTCATTTCTTATGTCAATATCGGCACTTTTGAAGAGCACGCTCACCATAAGCTTCAACAAACACTGAATGCAATTCTACAGCAGTTTTCCTTAAATAGCAACAGAAAACTAATGTTGTCTGTAAATCATACTTTGTAAGCAGAAAACTCAACATGTTCAACACTATTAAAATTATGCTCATATATGAAACATGTATTGTCAGTTGAAAATCTTGGGCGGTTGTTGAAGAAACAAAATGGATCAGTAATGCAGTTTAATGGAAACTACATCAACAACTAGAGCCATTTATGGACGAACTCCAGTTTCATATTTATAAACTTGGTATAAACGATATCCAGTGTAAAATAAAGTTACAAACATTTTTTTTAACACGTAGCTGCGGTTACGATCCCCAAGGTCTAATATTCGTCTCGACTACCAAACGGCCAACATTGTTTCGAATTTTGTGTATCTTACCAAGTCTCTAAAATAGCAATTTTTAAAAATATTTGAATGGGTGTTAAATATACGAGCATAAATAATCATTATATCTGATAAAAAAATTTCAGAGGCTGAGGACTGACACCGTACCAGTAAAAAATTATTTCCCTACAGTATCACCCCCTCCTCCCCCGGCGTCCGATACATATTCTTGTCGTGGCAGGACAGTGCACATGCACGGTCTTGACATCTTAGGGCTTCAGTCGCGTAGGGGTAACAAGTCTTAGACTGTTCCCCTTGCTTATTTTACATGTATAAATAAATAAATAATAAATAACTTACATATAAATAATGTACAAATTATATCTTAAAAATTATAATTATACGTAATAAATAAACTTTTTCTCATTTCATTTTCAATATTTAAGATTTATATTCCTAAAAATAACACTAGTTTACTAAAATAAAGAGAAATAATAAAAAAACTCGTCATATAAACAGCATCGAATGTAGGAGTCCACTAATACGACTGCTGGCCATTAATGAGGACACAATCAACAGATAGAGACTCTGAATAAGGAATTTAGTTCACATTTGTTGTCAAAAAATAGCAGTATACTTCAAAACTGATGCATGTCTCCGGCGTCCGATGCCGTTAGGAACTTCATAAACAGTGTCGGTTGCCGGGGACCAATATCGTCGGGAAAGACATTTAAGAATATGCTCAGCAGCTAACGTATTAAATCAATTTGAAAATAAATAATTATTACCTCCAGCTCCTTTCCAAAATGCTCTAAATCCTTCTTCCCTATAGATCTTTCTAAAAGCATCCGCCATACCATTGTAAGAAGTCTGTCCTTCCCTTGCGACAACCTATGACAAAAATTTCAACAATATTTAGAATAAATTTCTTGAAGGAAGTTAATAAATAGACTGTTCTACATACCATGGGTAACAGATAGTCAGGACGTAGTCAGTTTTTAATATTTTGATTGCCGACATTTCAAACCAAGCTTATGGGTCATCATCAGAGCATGTTACAAGTACTGAAGGTATTTCATCAGTACTTGAACACCTTCAGGGCTGGTAACATGCCCTGATGATGACCCATAAGTTTGGGTTTGAAACGACGGTAATAAAAATATACTAAAAAACTGTCTGTGTCCTGAGAGATATCTATCACCCACAGAGTAAATTTGAATCCTATAGATGCTTAGAGCTTGCAAATTCTAAGCTAATCATTTCTTGGTTGTATTAATGGTAAACAATTTATCTAAGAGAAATTCAAGTTAATAGAAAAAACGACACAATTTCAAAAGAGAAATAAATACAATGACAATTTATTCTAAATAAACCAATAAAAACCTCACCTATCATTAATTATAACCGTAATACTGATGCTTCATAAATAACTACTTCAACTTCTGATATATTTTAGTGAAATTTTTAAGGTTTATAAAAATCGATGCAAAATGATTATAAAAAATTTAACATTTTATGATAAAAACGAAACAATAAGGAAACTACTTTTAAATACCTGTAATCTAGTTTTAACTACATCTGCAGGCGTGACAAGTGAAGCTGCAGGAACACCAGCACAAACTCCAGACAAAAACAGTGTATAAGGCTGATTATATCCATTTTCGTCAGCCAACGCTGCTTTCACGTGAGCATAAGTCGGGAAGTATATTGCTGAGAAACAAATATCTCGTAGGAAACATGATCTAGCACCCTAAAAATGAAAGAATCTTTTAACACAGAATTAGTTTGGTATGTTTTGGTTACAATTAAACAATAATAATAATGAAATCATCGAAATTTATATGATAATAATAATGTTCAGGAAGGAGATGGTCTGGGTTTGCGGTTTTATAAAAACTTAAAATAGTGAAAACTATTTTATTTAATGCCAATGTTTTGGTCCAACCATGCAGTTCTTCAGGGCTAGAACAAACGAGATACAAAAGAATACATAAAAGTTTGTTCTAGCCCTGAAGAAGACCAGCTATATTTGGGTCTAAACGTTGGCTTAAAATAAAATAGTTGTTCCTATTTTAAGTGTTTTTATGACCACCACCCCATCTTCTTACTGAATATTATACAATGGTCAACCTTTAGTACTCTATAATAATAATGAAACAATAGAGATGGTGTGGAGATGAATGACTATCATTATCGTGGTGGATGATTAGATATTATTATTAGAAAAATTAAGTAATGGAGATATGACTTGAAAAGGAAGAAGGACATCAGGCGACCATTAATGGATATTGATGAGATTCTGCAGGAAGCTGTTGAGTCAAATCCGTCCACAAGAACTCATGAACTTGCCAGGGAGTGTGATGGGTCGAAAGATACTGTTAGTCGCCATCTACTCTCCATGGGAAGGTGAAAAAGAGCAGTGGACTGGCCCCTCACGAACTTACTTCTCAGCAATCAGCTAAGAGGTTAGAGATTTGTGAAAATTTATAGGAAAACCCTTCTGATATGAGATTTTACCGTAAGATTGTCACCTGTGAAGAAAAGTGAGTTTACTGGCGAAATCTGAATACACATGAGCAATGGCTAGATCACGGTCGAACTGCTTTTCTGGTTAGTGCAAAGGGGCAATTTGAAAAAAAAACATGCTTTGCATTTTTAGAATTTTGAAGGTGTTATTCATCATGACTTTGTTCCTGATAAATGCTCTATGAATTCTTCGCGAAGTTGTCAGAGTGTAATCTTGCTTTGATCAACCGAAATGGAATTTTATTCCAACAAGATAATGCTTGTCCTCACACTTCCCGTCGAACCAAAGAAAAGTTTAAAGAACTTAATGGGCTCGAACTCCTGCCTCATCCACCATATAGTACAGACCTCGCACTATCGGATTACTACTTATTTAGATCCATGGCCCATTTTCTTCAAGGGAAAATTTTTTATAATTTTGTGGAAGTTGAAATTGCGGGCGGTTCAAGAGTTTTTTGACAGCCATCCCAAAGAAAGGTCTCAGTGCGGGATCGAGCAAGTGGCTAGTAGATGGCTAATGACAGAAGATAACAATGGGTTATACTTTGAGTATTAATTGTATTTTATATCAAAGAAATAATAATACAAATATTTGGTTAAAAAAATGATCATTTTTTTATACACCCTATTATTATGATTATCGTGACTGACTCACAGAATTGAACTCGACCTTCCCACTCTGCTTAAAATAGGTTTGGTTGTACATCTTAACAATTCTCCTCCCCTCCCCCCCCCCCCCCCGTTAGCCATAAATAGTGGGTAGGAAGTAATAAAAAAAAAAAATAAATAAAGAAAAAAATGTTGACCATGATTATAGTTTCAGGAGTTGGTCAGGGGTGTGAACAATATATTATAATATTATTTTATTGTATTTGTCCACGTTTCGACCTACAATTTAGGTCTTCATCATGGCTAAAAAAAGATACAAACTATAAGTATTAATTGGTAAAAGGTAAAATAATAAATAAAATATCAGTTGATATTTAACTATTACCTGTAGGTAACTATAAGGTGCCTGATAAATAAAATTGAAGAACCAATAAGGTAACATAAGTGAATGAAGATAATTTTATTACATTCAGAAAGTGATGTATAATATAACCTCAACCTTATCAATCCCTTTAAAAAAGAAGAGGTTATACCAGAATTCAGATCCTTAAAACGATAGTTGAATATTATTCCAATCCTCATTGGACTGATGTGTACACTGAAGGTAACAAGTAATACACAATGGAGGGGCAGGTGCTTACTCATATCTGTTTATTACTTCGATACAGGATGGAAAATGAATCTCAAATTTTGACAGTGAAATTAAAATAATTCTATAGGCATCACAAGATACCAGTACCAGTACCGGTAGGCATTGCAAACTCAGATGCCAAAAACATCGTACTTTTTGTCGGTTCACAGGCGGCTGTCCTCACTATATCGAGGCTCTGTACTTTCCTCAGGATATTTCTAACTGCCAAAACATTATTGAAGGAGTCTTCTCCAAGGAAGGGATGTATTCTTCAACGGGTACCAAGTCACTCTGGTCTCCAAGGACAGATAAACTCGCCAAGAAAGGTTCGACATTGAACAAACGAGAAAATCGGATATCGTTCCATTGAACCATACAAAAGATAAATAAGCCAAACAGGTTGAAATATTGCAATACAAGCACAGGGTGGCTACCAGACAGTTTAAGTAGAATTTCCTGGCTTTTCTCAGACATTAAATTCTCTGACCAATATGTCTGCGGATAAAAATGTTAAAAATGTTATAAATTATAACTAAATTTATTTATTATACATGAAAGAAAATTAACTACAAAATGATTTCAGTAAAAAAAAAAAGAAGTATTTTAAATAACAAATGTAATGTTTTAGAGGAAGCATTATTTTAAGCTTGATTAGGTTTTTTTAATTTAGAAAACTAAACATTTATTAATTTATGCTTTTACTTTTATTTTATTTTCATAAACTGAGAGAAGGTATAAGTTGATACTTGACATACGGAGGATTCCAATATTAATGAAGTTTCTCATAAGTAATTTAGTTTCATTATTACTATAAACAGCATAATAATTATCCATATAACACCAGCTGACATTTCTGGTTAATAAATGCTCTTTTAAAGAGCACTGCGGGTCGAATAAATGAGTGCTTGCCAGCCAGATCTTGAACCATAAGAATATATTACAAATAGTAAATAGTCTTAGTATGTTTTTCTTTTCAAAAAAGCACTGTTTTAAGTTCATTTTGCTTAATTGTATTCATTACCCTTGTTTGATATCAATATAACACCCAGTGCCGTTATTGACAGTCTAAGGTGGATGAATATAACGAACGTGGTCGTTTATAACAACAAAATTTACCCCTTAAAGATCGTTATAAACGATATTCACTACATATTTATTTCCAATTTGAAAAAAATATTTATCTACTAAAAAAATTCCCTGACTTCTCCCAGTTTTGAAAATGCCCTGACTTTTTCCAGGCCGGTCGCCACCCTCATACATCAGAGATACCATGTCATCCAAATCAGAATGGTACTAGGTTGCAAAGTCTCTAATGGTGAAAGTTGATAAAGAAAGGCATAATGAAAGAAATAATAATAAAACTTGAAAACATTTGTGGATGAAAATAGGTTTGGTTACACTTATACAATAATAATAATAATAATAATGTATATAAGTGCGTCACAACAGACCCGATATCCTTGTTATAGATTTAGGAGCAAAGAAGGCAAAGTTAGTTGATATCGCGATTCCAAACGATAACAACATTAGCACGACCATGGGAGAGAAGCTCCGTAAGTACCAAGAACTGGTGATCGAATTAAAGGAGTTATACCATTTGTAGAGCGTATTGGTTACACCAATAATAATATCAACCAATGGTCTGATCTAAAAGTCAACGGTGGCTGGTACGGACGGCTTGGAAGTGCCCCTGGATGTGTTAAGAGAGGCTCAGCATGCGGTTCTCTTGGATACAGCCAGAATTACAAGAAAATTTTTAAATATCTAAAAATATTACAACTGTAAGTGGTTGGACTTGTCCCCCACCTTCAGCTTTGAATCTGCAAAGGCGAGAATAAACAAGATGTATATAAAAAATTTGTGGATAAAAAAAAAAATACACTAATTATTTCACATACACACCTTATAAAGTCCGAAAAACCCCAACTCTTTGATAACAGCAAGGGCACTAACTTTAGCCTGCGATGCTATTTCACCTGCCACTTGAAGTCGTATTTTTACAATTTCCAATGGATTGGTAAATATAACCTGAGCACAACCTCCCTAAAACGACAAATATAAATGAATAATTATATGATATAAATAATAGTTTATATCTGTTACAATTCACAGCTAATATTAAATATAATATTTAATTTGACTTACACAACCACCTGCCAAAACTTCACCCCAGAGAGCTATATTTCCATTTTTATCCATGAGATGATCTCGCACGAAATCGTTTGCAGTGAGCTTCAAAGCTTTTTCAGGAGCGACTCCCATCAATTGAGGTATTAAACCTCTATAAAGCCCGACAACACCTTCGTGCCTGACAACCTAAAATATATAAGATAAATAGTATAATAATTAAATGTAAAATATATTTTCGATATGTTTTTACTATTACAACAACAGGCAAAGGATAATTTGTTTGTTGTTCTGAATAAGATGATATTTTGGATGAACCTTGTGATGATGAAACTTCAGCGTTTGGAAGTCGAATATAAAACGTAAACCATTTTTTCTTTTACTTTAAATAATCATAATGGCCCCTGAAAAAAATGACTTTTAACCTAAACTTAATCTAATTAATCAAGTAAACTGAATATGATAATTTTATTAATAATACAATAAAATATTATTAACAAAAAAATTCAGATATTAATTATTTTAATTACCTTTCGGAAACAATCAATGCTGTTTTTGTACATTACTTCACCAATAAATGAACCGATCCTCTGATTTTGCATTCTAGTTTTCACTAAATCAATAGGATATACAGCGGCAGCTCCAGTTGCTAAGAAAGATAAAAAAAAAAGTAAATAATAGTTATGATTTTAATTGCTTAAGAAATTGTAATATTAACAAATATAATTCAACTTATAAAATGAACTTGGGGTAAGTCACTGAGTTAGAATAGAAACAGAAATGTGAGTTAAAACAGAAATATAAGTTAGGTATCAGGTTACAGAATAAATGCAAGCAAGAACTGATCTATTCAAAACTAATCGGGAACAAACAGTAGGTTTTTACTTTCGCTTACCTATGTATCAAATGTAAAGTAAGAGAAAGTATTACGATCATGAAACGTTCTGAATCCAAATTTTCAAAAGAATTTAGAGATGAGCAAATGAATGAAGAATCCAATTAATGAATCGATTCATCTGAAAGAATCGTACTCTCAAATGATTCACACGAAAAAATCACAATTCATAAGGAATCAGTCAAAAACAACCATGTAGATTCAAGTCTTAATTTCAATCTGTTAAAAAAAAAAGTTTTTGCCTGAATAACCATGAGGTTTGAGAATGCTTGTTTTTTTAAACAAAAAGTAATTTTTTAATTTATAGAAAAAAAGAAGATTAAAGAATTGATAGAAAAATCATTCATAAGAATCGATTAATCACAATGATTGAATTGTTGTGAATAGGTTCAGTGAAAAGGATCAAATTTCCCATATCTAATGGAATCACATATTTTGAGGTCCCTTGAGTTTAAATAACGAAGTCTCAAAAAAAGATCTGTGTGTAAGTGAATATTCTAGCTCCCAAATAAAAAGCTGTAAGGAACTGAAATTATTTATTTAAAGTAGGTATACACCTGTTACAATAAATTTTTTGCTTAAATTGACTTATCGTAATTTTATAATGGATGCAGAACTTTACAAAATCGATTATACGCATTTTTACAATTTTTTTTAAAATGTGCTCATTAAATGCTAATTAAACTTATTTTATCAATGAAAAATAAGTATCCGGTTAAGAAAATTTAAGAGCAGGACATATGTTAATTATTAAAAAAAAAAATCACTATTGAAAATTTTGAGAATAAATATTACCTCCAGCTATGGCACCCAAACTAAACCTATAGACGTTTTCTAATACTGAAATAAAAACACCTCTATCATCAGGACTCTGAAAAAATACAAAAATGTATAAGAATTCCAATTTATAGAAATAACATTTTAAAAATAGTTTATTAATTTTTAAAATTTATAATAAACATTATTAATTCAACCTAAATCTAAAAATGGGTCAAGGATGTTTGCAGTTTCCAAGATTTTACTTCATACTTTAATTTACCTTCATAATAGTTCATTAGTAGCCCTTTTCCTATCAAGTTTTTTATAAGATTCACAATATAGGCTAACTTCAATAATCTTAGCTTGGGTAGTCCAAACACAAATCAGTAATAAAAAATCTGAAGTGGTAAAAAAAAAAAAATCTCAAGAGAAGAAATGAAGGAAGGAAAATTTTGTTCAAGAAAGGGAAAAGTGAAAAATTATATAAATGGCAAGGAAAAAAGAATTCAGTACCTTTTTCCTCTCTGTTTCTCAAATGATTTTCTTTTTTCTTTAGTAGCTATTTTATAAGGGATCATTAAGAGAAGAAGGGAAGGGGAGGGGATTAACATTTCTTAAGGCTCATTTTTGATTGCTGGAACCAACGCTTATTTTATTAATACAAAACAATTTTACCTAGCATGTGTTGGCTTATGCCCTATAAAAGGTTAATGAGTTACCTATTATTACTTTTATATCGGAAACTCAGTTATAATAATAATAATAATGCTTTATTTATTCTGGGACGAGTCCCTTTAGAATAATATAGAAAGACAATAATGTGGGCTAAGGAGCCTTAGAGGTACATAAACAAATATATAGAGTAATTAAATAGTCAAAATAAAAAAAAATAATAGAAAAAATTATAAGTTACTTACTAATTTAGATCAGTTAATAATAAAAAATAAAAAATTGGAAATAAACATGAAGTAAAAATAATGAAGAACGATATAATAATTTATATACATATTTACAATAGTAACTATTTACTGGATGGATAAGAAATGATTGAACAGGTGGGATTAAAAGATAGGAAGGGTTTTGGATTGACGGATGTGGGGAGGGATGGAGTTCCATAGGGATGAGGATCGGATAATGAACGATTTATCAAAAGCAGCGGTTCGGTGAGCCCTTATGTATAAATCAGAAGACTGGGAACGAGTATTGCGGGAACGAACGGAGGATTTGAATAGAAGGAGATCGGAGATGTATGAAGGACGGTGGGATTGGATGACTTGAAAGAGGAAGGCTGCTAGGAAATACTTGCGACGGTAGGAAGGGCCACTTCAACTCTGCATAAAAACGGGAAACAGAGGCATCCCTTGGGATCCCAAAGATGAATCGTACAAAGCAATTCATCAAACGTTTTCATTTCGCCTCAAGATCCCCACAGACGCCCCCATATACCGTACAGTAATAGTCAAAGTGGGAAAAAATTAAGGAAGTTACTAGGAGTCTATGGGTTTCAAGGGGAAATAGGTGACAGGAGTAATTTAGACATTTTAAAGTGGAAATGGTACAGCTTCTTGTTTTAATTAGTTTGGAAAAATCAGAATGTAATGTCATAAAACATCATGTGTGTAAATATGAAACTAGAATTCGTTAATTTGTTGTTAATACAGTTATTGTTAAGCCACATTATTGGTGACAATTAGCGTCTTTGACAGCTGGCAAAGAATTTTAACTGACAACAATGCAAGTTCAATATAACAGCATCTTAGTACTGAACATGTCGACTTTTTGTCCCTACAAACCACAATTAGCGGACAGCATTGATTTTTTGTTACCACTCAAAGAAAACTACAGCAGAATCATATTAGAATAGGAGCTACCACCATTTCATTTAAATTACTGACTTATAGCTAATTTAAATTCTAGATAAACCTCATCTAAAAAATAACTTCGGTCAGTTAGTTGAAAGCTATTGCTTTCTATACGAAAATTTAAATTAAAGTGGCAAAATTTTGAAGTTTCATTTAATGGAAGACCGACCATATGGATGAAAATTTGAAATGATTCTAAAACGAAATATTTCATTGCATTCCAAGATTTATGCAAAAATAGCGCTTTTTTTGAAGAATATAAAATGGTTATTAGCTATAAGTCATTCAGTTAAATGAAATCCTAGTCCATATTGAATGCTTGTCAAAGCTTACAGTCAGTATGCTATTAGTAAATCACTGTGCTTTGAGTGGTTTAAAAATTCAAAAGTGGTGATTTTGACAAGAGAAATATGGAATATGGAACATGGGTGAGATTCTATTATGAGCTGCTGTGACCTAAGGGAACCATTAATACTAAACACTGTTACCAACAAATGATCGATTTGAATTGAGTATTGAATGAAAAATGAACGGAATATAAAAAAAGAAATAACAAAGTGATTTGAAACCAGTGAAGGAAATAATTGAGGTATTCAGTTGAGAAATATTAGTACGTGCAGCTTATTCACTAGACGTGGTTCCGATCAACTTTTTTTTGCATCAACGCACACATACCCAGCAGCACTTCCCTTATTATGAAAATGTACAAAAATGGCTTGATGACTTATTGGTCACAAAAAACAAGTTTTTCTGACATGGCATTCGTTAATTGTCCAAAGTGTGGGAAAAATGTAAACCTAGCGATGAAAATTTTAAATAAAATATTTTTATGCAATAAACGTGCATTACCTATACAAAAAATCCGGTTTCATATTTGCACAACTAGTATTATTATTGTTATTTATTCTTCAATATTTTTTTTTTTTTCAAATACTTACCGAAACAGCATGTATTTCAGTAAGCCTGTTGTGTATTTGTTTATGATACTGCTCAGGAGCAATGGCCTGCAGATCGCTATACACTACCTTCCTGCAACCAATATAAAAATCTAAACAAGAATTTTAGAATATTTCTCATGAAAATCATAAGAGAGAACTATAATAAAGCAGTAAGGTTGTTCGACTGTGTTTCTAATCGACACACACAGCAAATTCATTATTCCAAATACTAATATTTTTTTTTAAATTAAATAAGGTTGTCAACATTATTAATTATTTTGTAGTTATTTTATTAAGAGTGAAATTAAATTAAAATTTGATGATTTATTTATTTTTCACAATGTAGGACAGACAATTAGGAAATCTTCCCCACTCCAATAACAAGTCGTGCAACTTCTATTATTCAATTATGACATAAAGTTAGAACCCAGATATGCTCTATAGAAATATAAAGAAAAATAATCCTTAATAGCATTATATTCTGCATCCTTAATTTATTTTATTATATATAATACTTTACTTAATTAATTAAAAATAAGACAACCTATTATATCACATTATCAATTAAGGATGTATCACAATAAAACTACTAGTCTTTTTATTTCTTTAAAACAAATTATATAGTATTACGTAAAAGAAGAAACAAAATTAGACAACATACCTACCCCAGATGTAAGGTTACATCATCAATGAAAGACCTAACGATAACAAACAATTTATAAATTAGAACTTTTATACTAAGTTTAAAAAAGCTCAATTTCTCACTTTAAAAATAAATTTATTAACTAATCACTTAAGTGAACATATAACATGTAATAATAATATCTAATACTTAAATTTATAAGATATATAAATTATTAATTTATTATTGAAATATAGCAGAGCTGCATTACTCAATGAGCTGTGTGAAATAATTTTTGATGAGTAAAAGTGTTCGATGTGTCTATGGCTGTACCACAACTCTTATATGTACCATCTAAAAGAAAGTCGAGACTGCAATGTGGCAATTACAGAGGTATAGCTCTCCTTCTCATAGCCTGCATCTTTGATTTTCAGAAGATCGAAGACACGCATGGAGAGAACTGTTGGAAATTACCAAAGAGATTTTAGCCAAAGAAGATCAATGTTGTTTGGCACTGACTGCATTTGGAAAATTCGACGCAGCAGTTGGAAAAGACGCATAAATTCAACCACGTTTTCATAAATTTCTGACAAGCTTCCAACTGTGTCGAAAGGGATGATAATGGAATAGTCATAATGGAACTATGACCATGTTCTGTGTTATTTATGGAACTTTGGATTCTCCATAAAGATAATTTTATGGTTTGTATGACTGACTAGAAGAATGAAACCGGTGTTGGATGACAACGCCAAAAGGATCAACCCTAAGGAAATACTTCCCCACCGTCAGTTCAAGAATGGAAACTACATGGCTCCTCCCGGACTATTCGGCCTCACAAATCCTCATGGGGCTGATCATGATAAGAACATTGATCCCCTATGCCCAAGTTGTAGGGTACCGGAGACCGCCGAGCACGTCTTACTAGTCTGTACCGCCTATGAGGCACTGAGGGCTAAGTTGCTAAGGGAGACTGGGCTCTATGTCTTATCAGAGCGCGATCTCCCTCAGCTAGTGACAAGAGAGAACTATCCGCACTACAAGGCCTTTGTGTATGGGTGGAAAGATGTCATTGGCCCAGCCCACTTCTATTTGGGTAGAAGAGAAGAAGCTCCACCACAGAGGATGGAAGAGACAAGATAAGCAGAAAATCGAATTGTATCGATTGCAGTATTGGCTAGTTATGCACGCACGTGTAGCTAGCTATCCACTACTGCAAACACTTGTATTGCCTAACTGGCAGGGTAGAGCTTTAAATAAATAAAATGGTTTGTATGACTGAAAAATTCCTCCCCCTCTAGAATTAAGTGGCTGCTAGGTCTAGCAAAAATGAAAAACCGACTTATCATTGGGGAACTAACAGAACACTGCAGATTTGCGACCAGAAACTGCCCTTCACTACATAATAGAATGTGACCAATTAGTGTCGCTCACATACAGAATTCTGGGTTCGAACAGAATATGAGAACAGAAAGCTCCTCCATAAAACAGTCTACCTGAGATGGCCGAGGCTAACCGAAAATTACAAGAGGATATTGATTGTAGCCATAGGTGGGCAGAAAAAAATAAACTGAAATTGAACACACACAAAACTAAGGAAATCCTCATCGGTTCCAAGCACTTCATTAGTTCTCTTCCTATCTCTCCTTTACTTTACCTCAATAACCGTCCTCAAGTAATGCATGTGCAAAACATGCATTGTTGCCTGAAGCAACCAGTAATAAACCGAAGTTTATGAGTTCAAATTCCGGTGCGGGGAGACTTTTTAACTCTGGCCTAATTTCCCTGTCCTCTCCGCTGGACCAGTAAAAACTCAGTATAGCCTTAAAGCTGAGCAAGGGGGGAAAAAAAAGGTCTTAAAATATTGGCTTGAATGAAAGTAGTTTTTTAAGTGCGTTTTGTTAACTGAACCGTAATCCTGTGAGGCGTATGTTCATACAATTAAGTATGTATGTAATTTATTTTCTGTCTAATTTTCAGTTTCAATGTAAGTACAGCAATTTCAGTCCTTTTTCTAAAGTCAATCTTTTCACAAATAAATAAACAAATCTTTTTATTAATATACATAAAAATAAAAAAAGAAATTCTTTGTTTTAGGAGAGGACAATACATATTGAAAGGAAAATAAGCAGTAAGATGTGAAATTTGTAGCTATTGCATGACTGTACATTCAAAACATTTTTCATTTCGCTTTTAATAAAGTAAAGTGGTAGTAGGCAGTGGTTTTACGTTCCAGGAGATTATACACTGACAGGCGAAAAATTCCATCCACTTGATTTTTTCATGTTTTCATCTAAAAATATTTCTGCTTTGGATTGGTCTATTGTTTTTAATGAATAAATAGGTAATCTTTTTGTTTGTTTTCAATTAGGAATGTTAATATCGAGGACAATAACCCTTAATCCTTAATTCAATGAAATGATTCTAGATTCCAATGTTTCCATGATTCCAAGATTCCAAAACAAACCATTATTATTCTAAAAGAAATTAATTACATCATCGTTTAGTAGCGCATGTTTCCTCCTCTTGCCTTCACTACTTCTTGAAGACGCCTCGGCATACTTTCCACCAGTCGGGAAATGTCCCTTTGCTGGAGGATAGCCCATTCCTCCCGAAGAGCCCTTTCAAGGTCAAGCAGTGTATCAGGAAGTGTTGCACGCGCTCTTATTCGTCTTCCGAGATTGTCCCATAAATGCTCAATGGAGTTCAAATTTGGAAAACGTGCTGGCGAGGCTAAAACCTCAATATTGTTTGATTGAAGGAACGTCTGCACTGTGCGGGCGACATTTGGGCGTGCATTATCGAGCATTAGAATAGAACGATCGCCTATTTCGTTGAGGATAGGCAACACATGAGGTTCCAAAATCTCATCTACATAGCAAATGACCGTCAGAGATCCTCCACGAACAACAACCAATTCTGTGCGGCGCTCCATTGAAATCCCAGCCCACACCATTAAGGAACCACATTCGAAAGGTTGGCTCTGGGAAAAATTACAGGCTGCATATCTTTCGTTTCTTCTTCTCCACACCCTTTCACGCCCGTCTGGAGATCGAAGAGTGAATCTTGACTCATATATAACAAGTACAGCACTCTATTCGTCCATAGTCCAATGGCTGTGTTCTTGAGCAAAAGACAGCCGTGTTACTCTGTGAGTTCTGGTCCACTCTGGTCCTCTTACTGGACGAAAAGCCATTAATCCATACTCATTTAATCTTCTCCGAGCGGTACGTTCAGAAATTTCCACACCTCGAACTTCTTCAAGCTGATGAATCACTTGAACAACGGTAAGGTGCCGGTTTCGTAAAATTCTCAAAGTCAAAAACCGGTCATCCCGTGGTTTTGTTACCCTAGGCCGTCCAGAACCGGACTTTCTATTGTAAGAACCAGTTTCCCGAAAACGCCTGACGGTGTCTCGTAAAGTTTCATATGGAACTCCGATGGCATTAGCTGCATATCTAATGGAACGTCCATCATCAATAAGTGCCACACCACGCGTAACATCCTCAGCACTAAGAGGCATTTTTAAACTTAATATTGAAAAAATTAAAAGCCGGAGACTAAGAAATGTGCTGCATGAAACAGCACTGAACTAATGATACTGAATAAACATTTTGATTCCATAGAAAGTAAACATTGGAATCTAGAATCATTTCATTGAATTAAGGATTAAGGGTTACTGTCCTCTATATTAACATTCCTAATTGACAACAAACAAAAAGATTACCTATTTATTCATTAAAAACAATAGACCAATCCAAAGCAGAAATATTTTTAGATGAAAACATGAAAAAATCTGTCAGTGTACTTTGTAATAGCAAATAACTCAGGCAGCCAAGGTTTCTTTTCAATTGCATAATTAAAATACCATTTGATAATGTTGGACTAATTCTTCTGCCTTTTCCCCTGGACCAGGAAAAACCCAAGATAACCTAAAAGGTGAGGAAGAGGAGAAAAAAAAAAGAGTGTATTTACAATGAATCCATTAATGGACAAAAAGTAACAAAAGTAAAATGTAAACCTGACTTACATAGCTTTCATTCTAACCCCCTCTTCCTCCCACCCTCATATAATAATTGTTAAGATAAAGATATTAATAATTAATAATTATTACAGAATTTGTTTGCTGTGGAGATGGGGAAGAAGCTTCCGAAACATGAAAATATAGTAATTTTATAATAATAAAGAAAAAAATAAAATATTGTAAGTACTCTTGGCCGTCACCTTCAATTAGGAATAACAAAACTACCTAAAAAATGTTTCAAAATAAAAAATATTTTCATTTAATAATTCCTCAATCTTTTGAGAAGCACCAAATTAAAAAAGGAGCTAAAAAAATAAAAGTTAATTTCTTACCCTCTCTGATTAATCAAATGGCATAAGTGAAATAAAATGTCAATTTCCAAAGGTGTGATCTGTGACATCATTTGAGCTTGGTACAGAAATTCATCTAAAAATGAAATAAAAAATTTCAAATTTATATAATTATAAAATTTTGGTTTTGATTTTTCTTCATGTTTTTGATGGTCATTCTGGCCAAACTTAGAAATTCATGCATAATTCATTCAATACTTGTATATTTTAATTCTTAAAATGTATTTATTATTATTACACATCTTTTTATAATAGTTCTTTACTTTTATTTTTTTTTATTATCCTGTCTTTTCTCAGCCCTGAAACTTAGACCAATATGTCAGCACAAAATTTTTGTTTTTTATTTCTCATTAATACTGTAATTATTACTCCAACTACTACACATCCATATTATCATCAGTCAAATATTTCTTCGACATAATGAATTGATGTTCTAATAAAAAATAAAACATGAGAAGGAGTTAGTCGAGGGTGCGGTCAAATAAATAAAAAAAATTAAAATATATAAATTATTTTAATTTTTGCTGACGTTTCGACCCACTTTGCAGGTCGTCTTCAGGGCTACAAAAGATACAAAACATGTTGAAAAAAATAAAAAATAAAAAAACAATAAAATAAAATAAATAAATATAAGTATTTTATTTTAATTTTTTTTTTTTTTTTCAACATGTTTGTATCTTTTGTAGCCCTGAAGACGACCTGCAAAGTGGGTTGAAACGTCGGCAAAAATTAAAATAATTTATATATTTTAATTTTTTTTATTTATTTGACCGTACCCTCGACTAACTCCTTCTCATATTATATCAACGGTCAACCATCTCTACATCATTAAAAAATAAAACAGATTGTAATTCTATAATAAATGGGTGATTAACCCAAACCTTGAGTAGATATGAAAAATAAAAAATTATAAAAGTCATTATTTTATCTTCCTCTACTGTCAGATGTTACCTGTAATCAGTGTTAAGTTAGATTATATTATCAACAAATATTTTATAGCGTCTGTGACTTTATTTTATGTATATTGCGATAAAGTGAAATAGTATTTGTGTTAACTATTAAGCCTTCAGTAAATATTATAATTTAAAATGTAAATTCTTATTAATAATAATTAATAAATTGTTAAATTTAATATGGATATTATTTATCAAAACTGCCAAAAATAACGAAAAACAAGATTCAGCATCCAAACAGAGATGGTCTGGGGTGGCGGTCATAAATAGGCTAAATAGTTTTATCACTATTTAGCCTATTTATGACCGCCACCCCGGACCATCTCCTTCCTTTATAATGAAACGGTCAACTATCAAATATTCAAAAAGCTATGAAAATCTTTCAGCTTATCTGACTAGTCATTAAATCAGTTCACAAGCTAATTTGTTTGGTTTCCTCAAATTTCTTTCAACTTTGGGCCAAATTGAATGAACCATTTTTGAAATAAAGATGTATCCAGTAAATTATGTTTGCACATTTGTAAACAACAGCATTTTTGATAGCAGTGGATGAAATTGATACTTATTCGATACTTTTTTCATCAACCCCTAAATTCCCTCAAAACTTTGGGCCAAAACGAATGAGTTATTTTTGAGATAGAGGCATAATGATTGATCCAAATTGATGAGTGCATAAGTGAAAGTAGTTAACGAAATTTGATATGAGTCCATCTAGGTACTAACACACACACACAATTTCTTAAAATCGACAGTAGTAGGTTATATGGTTTGTACATCGATTTGATTACAGACAGACACGGAACCAAATTCGTTCCACACATGACAACATCCTTCATACCACAGAACCAATAGATTCCGTTAGCCCAAGTTTGAACATATGATATTTAAGTTTGCAGTGACCTGTTAAGGTTAAATGAAACTAAGGAACCGCCTGGAATCAGTCTGTATTTTAGAATACCGATATTTCTTGGCATAATATTTCTACACCATAAATCTTCCCAATTATTCTTTTGATTAGACTCATGATAATAACACAGATTGGTTCGGGTGTTGTGGGAGTTGTCTGAGAGCCTCTCCTGGCTAACCATTCGCCATCTCATTGCCAGTAATACCAGAGTGATCTGGTACCCATTAGATGGTTACTTTATTGATCCTTGATAAATATTAAGGATTGTGCAACAATTCCTAACAGCCTTAGATCTAGTCAACTTTATAATATATAAAAATGTGGATGAACAAAGTTCTTTCAGTCTTTTTAACAATATCAATTAACACACTAATATGTTTGACCTGTTAAAACCTTCTTTTTTTCTTTTCAGTTGGCCTATGATTCATAACACGAAAGTCGCACTTGCGTCGCTTGACTAATAAAATTAAAACCAAACGTGGTATAATTTTTTCATAAAATTCCTCAGCTTTTTCTACTACTCCAGGTCTAGTAGAAATGCAGCAAATCTACCATAAAGATTACCAATTAATCAGCTAATCTTTGCACCTTACTACAATCGAGGAAAAACTAACACAGTTCTGTGATGGACGATACGATACAAATTAAAACTAACCCTTAGTAAGTTCCTGAGTATGGGAACCATTTGAAGCGTTAAGGTACACACGCTTAACAAGTTCCATGTTACTAAGAAGAGAATTAAAAGCCATGAAGAATGGAAAACTCACTCTAGATCCACCTTCGCCACCTGCCGCAACCTAGAAACACAAATATTAATTCATTACTAATAATAATTGTGATTCATTTCTTTTATTAGGTTAATCATCAGTTAATTGCAATATTAAAATATTTTAATAATTAATAATTGGTTAATAAAAAGGACAATTTATATATATAAAAAAATTTGTTCAGAAAAAAAGTCCTACTTTTCATTTTCAACTCAATGGTGCATTTTTCTACAAAAAAAACTTATGTAATAACCTAATATTTAAAAAAATAAATAAAGCTAAACACAGTTATCTATTTATTTGTACTCTAACTCACCCCAACTAAGTTATCTTGGACTTGCTTGGTTAGGAGATGGTCTTTTATACTGATCATAATATCTTGAAAATCAAGCACGGAAATGAATCCAGTGCCATCCTTATCAAATCTCTTAAATGCTTGTGTTCCACATTCTTCATGGAAGTCCTGAAACAGAAACATACCTGCATTAACTTCAATTAATGATTTTCAACGCTGCTTTTTTCTTTTGTACTCCTTCCTTGCCTTTGTATGCTATGCGGGTCTTATAAATTGTCATATGGTTGTTGAGTTGTAACCTAACATTGGGGTTATAACTAATGTATTCTTTCTATATGATATTTAATAAAGTTATAATTATGTTGACTTTTTTATAAATCTCTATCCTGTTGTGGCCAGTAGAGTTACAACAGTGGAGTTTTTACTGGAGTAGGGGATAGGGCAATAGATTCTCCCTCCACTCCAGTCATCAGGATGCGAATTCATAATTATTTTATCATCTAAGCTTCGGTTTATCAGGTTGCCGTGGAACGTATTAGCCCACTCGACCACCTTACTACCATTTTAACTGTTACTAATAAAACTGAAGCATGTTGCAGGAACTACCTTATGAACAAAAATCTGGTGTCGTGCGTGCATCACACAACTTTCACTTACCATCCTAATTTGAATAGAATTATGTGTTTTCATATAAAAAGAAGTTAATATGAAAATTGTAGAAGATATGTCATATTAATTTAAAACCATTAGTTACCATGTTTCTTATACCTGTTGAATTTATGTGTTTTCGTCACCATCCATTTTCCTTCTATGATTTTATATTTTAATTATTTATTTAACTACAAGGGTCTCACCTATTTTTTTTTTTTTTCTGTCTAATAGCAGTGCCATGAAAATATTTTAATCCAATAAAACATGTACTACATTGATTACACCTATGTTTACTGAAAATTAATTAATTGTAACATTTATTTTGAAGTAACGATAATTGACTAAATTTTCAGAAATTTTATAGAATTAATTTAATAATAAAACGGTGAATATGCAGATGATGTAGCTGCCTTTTGAAGCAATAAAGAGGATACTGAGAAACTAGCTAAGGCTCTGATAAAGGAAATCAGAACAAATTGGCCTACAAATAAAGATAAAACAAAATATATCATAATCAGCTTAAAGTCCCACTCTAACATCAGAACCTGCGTAGAAGGTAAATCATTCCCGAGAGTAGACAAAAATATCTCGGTTTCACAATAACCTAAAGAAAGAATAACCTTATCCTATAAAGAAGAATTGAAACATTTGAGAGGAAAATCCTCTGCAAGATAACTAGAATGATCTGGGTCAGGAGCAGTAATGCACGGATAAGAAGTACAAATCAAGAACTGCTTAAAGAAAGTGATCAATCTATATACCATATGAAGGCAAGGAGGTTAAGATGGGTGCGACACGTAGCTTGGAGAAATTCATCAGTAAGTATCTACACAACAAAAATCAAGTAGATAAATACAATCGACAAAGATGCTCCAAAGCTGTAGGTAGAAAACTGGAAATCAATAGTCCAAGATAAAGAGAGGTGTAGAATGTACAAGGTCGGTAAAGTAAACAGAAAAAGAAAAAAAAAAAAACAGTTTTATAATTTTATATTACTTCTTATAATGATTTTATATTTCAAAAGTTATAAAAATAGCAGATATACAAAATATCTAGATAGCACTGAAAAAGTATATTCTACAACATTAAAAAAAATATGTGTTATCAAAACCTAAAATTCTTATTAGCATAATTCACGACTATATTAAGAAAAAGGTTTGATAGAACAAAAAGGTTAGTTGTGTAGGGGAATTCTTATCAAATGCTTGGTCTATGGAGGGTTATCAATTGTCAATAAGAACTGTCATTTTATTATATGTATATATATTCTGTAAAGTATTTTTTTTTTCTGTCAACAGTTGGAATAAAGAAACAAGTGTATTTGTTAAGTGTATTAATTGTTTAAACCAAGAGCCCTCCAACAATATAAAATAATTAGTTTAAATGTCTTTGGAGAAATGTGAATTTATTTTATGGATACTGTAAAGTGGTCATAAATAAACAATTATAATAAAGAAATGGGTGTATTGTACTTGTAGAAACCATCAGGCCTCTGGAAAAAGTTTTAATTTAAAATAACAAAATTTAAACACAATAATAACAATAATTGCTAAACTATTAAAATGCTATTAATCAAAGCCGCTAGAAAAATATTAAGCTATATAAAGCTTAATAAAAATGAAGACCATGGTTGACTGCAGTGAATGATTGAAGAAAAGAATGGTTGGGGTGATCAGTCCAATAAAAAATTTAAAATAAATAATTTTATTTTTGCTGACGTTTCGGCCTAAACTTCAAGCCTTCATCAGGGCTGATCAAACGAAAGGATTCGAGCAATAGATATTGGTCTTGCAGAATCCTTTCGTTTGACCAGCTCTGATAAAGGCCTGAACTTTGGGCCAAAACGTCAGAAAAACAAAAATAAATATACTTATTTTTTTTTACTGATCATTCCAACCATTCTTTTAAATGGTTAAAACTTAAAATGAAGATGGTTTGGATTCATTTGCATATGGTCAACTATTGATAAATTATGTAAGTTTATAATTTCATAAATTAAAAAAAATTAAGTAAAATAAAAAAAAAAAATATAATTTACATTTTCACTGTACAATATTATATTGACTAATAGTATCAAAATCAATTTATTATGTTTTTTTTTTCTTTTATGAAATAAATTCATGAATTGGACAAGTTAAATAAAAAGTAATTTAAATCTAAATTTCATACTTAATTATCATTCCACCAACAATATTTTATCTAACATATGTTGAAACAATATGAATAACATTACATACTTGAAAAATAAAATAAAACACTTTTATTCAAAAAACAAAAACAACAAAAAAAAAACTATATCCGAAGTTAAAATCACAAGTAATAATTTTATCCATATATCCCACAATAAAGTTACTGTATATTTATAAACCATGACATGGCAATAACTGAATTTGTACAAATATGTAACACTTATCTAAACAAATATTTCCCGTGGTGCGAGCCAGTGCTCAATGGTAAGCATTAATATTAATAACAAAAGAGAAAAGAACAACGTAAGGTTACAGAATATAACAATCTAATCCATTTACATCTGTTTAGAGCTGGTTATTCAAGCAATAGTTTGCGGAAATTTATATTGTCTCAAGCGCTTATTTTTCTGGTTGAACGTACTATGTCTCATAAAATATCCATTCAAAAGTACTACGGAAGTTTACTTCCTTTTAAGAAGAGAGAAACGACGAATGAACGAGCAAATAAAATCAGAGGGTTTACAACTTGATACTGAAACACCAAATAGTAAGTTAATATATTTAAATAATTCACTATTCAATCGTGCGTAGTTGACAATTTAAAAAAAACATATATATAACGTCTCACAAGTGTTGACGTCAAGAAAGAAATAAAATAATATTGTATGGCTGCTCAACTGTGTTGAGTTGCTAAATAACACGACTATACTCATCAATCAATAGATAATACCGTATCAAAATTTAAAAGAGAGTTAGGTCGGACCATTAGAATAAATAGCAAATATTAACTAAAAAGGGTTTAGCGAATCAAATAAGCAAATGCCAAGATCAATATCTGTGGTGATGGAGGATTCCTAATGAGTCTAAAATAATAGTTTCTGCCATGGTATGCGTCTCCTCTCTTCCTTAACACTGATACCGAGCCTTTGCAAGAAATTACTTGTTGTAAAAGGAAAGGTTCTCCTACTTCCGAACCAAAGAGTTTTGAACAGGTGAATAATTTTTTTTTTAAAAATGTGGATTAATTTAATTAAAATAAAGGGGTTTTTTTGGTCCACCCCTTCTTCACATTTCAGGCTAGATTTTCCTGGGCCAGGGGAGAGGGTGGAGGATTTATGCCAGAGTTAAAAGCTACTGCTCCCCAGGCACCGGTACGTGAAATCTTAGTTACTATGTAAACTTCCGTTCATGATGTTGTCGGTTGCAGGGCACCATGTCCCCAGCAATAAAAGCTGCTAATATCACTTGTTTTTATTTAATCTTTTAAAAAAACTGGTTACTATTAAAAATTAACTTGCAAGACTAATCTGCAAAAAGCTGCAATTACGTTGCATGTTTGAAATTTATCTTATTTTAAAATCTATTGGGTTGTATGGAAAATAATGTAGGATTTTGAGTTTTCTTTAAAATATCCCTTTGTATAACAAACTGTTCATGTTTACTGGATTATTCATTGCTATGAATGTCAACATGTCTTAATCCTCTTCCAAACAATAATGTTTGTTTATCTCTGTAGCATTTCACTGCTTCGAAATAATAGTCTTCACTAAGATGTCAACACATGATTTTAGTATAATTTTGGATACTTTTTGTCTAAGCAGCCGCTACTGACTGCTATCTGCCAATGTTTATAACCTGAACACTGATAGCTCCCATAACGCAGTGATAAGCCTTCTCCTACTTCACATCTTCGTATTATTGTATTAAATTTGTATTATTGAAAGTGTAAACAGATACAAAAACAAATGTAATAACAACAAAAATACTTTTATTTGACGACAAATATATTAATGAAATAATAAAAAAACAAATTTAAAAGAACATATTTACTTAGAAAAGAAAAAATATCAACACTATGAACAACGTATATACAAATTATTTTAAGTTAATTATTCACTTCCTTTTGTCTTATTAATTTTGGAAGGCAAAATTGTTTTATGCTACTTAAAATAGCGAGGAACGGGTCCTCTTCTTTGTGAACCCGCTGCCACAAAAATTTGCACAAATATGAATCGAGGCGTTGTCTGGCAGTTCCTCTATGTACTTTATTTCTCCACTTAGCTGAGCCCCACAATCGTTCTATGTGTTGAGTATGAACCCCAGTTGATGGATCGACAAAATTATACCGGTGATTCACTTGGAAATAGTCAAATGGTCAAAACGGGCCAAAAACTAAAAATAAACACAAACGGGCCAAAAGTAAACAATTTAATAAGTGAAAGTAATAAGGGAATAACTGAAAACTAAACAATGCAATAACTCAAAAGTTTGGCGGGTTAAGAAGAGGGAGGTTATGTGACATGATGACATCGTTAGAAAAGATATATAAGAAGTGAGGTTTCAAAACGGCCGCTTAGACAAAAAGTACCTAATTTTGTTTTGAGAGTTTAAACTCGGCCGAAATGGGGTCCAAATGGCCAGAAACACCAATCAAGTCTGTGGCGAGAGCAGCATTAATGAGAGCACTGTTCAATGGTGGTTCAAAAAATTTTGGGAGGGAGACATCAGCCTTGAAGACAAAAATCATGGAAGGACTTCCTCTCTTGATGACAATGTTCTGCGGACTTTAATGGAAGAAAACTCCAGAACAACTGTTTGAGAACTTGCAGGGAAACTTAGCCTTGGCAAACCAACCATCGATGACCATCTCAAGGCGATTGGAGAGATAAAAAAACTTAAACGTTCTGTTCCACACACTTTAAACGAGTGCCACAAAAAAACAAAAAAAAAAACAGCGTTATGAAGTTTGTGCTACACTTCTTTGCTGAAACAAAAACGACCCTTTACTGTCAAGAATTGTTACTTGTGATAAAAAATGGATACTTTACGATAACGGTAGACGTTCTGCACAGTGGCTTGACAAAGAAGCAGCACAACATTTTCCAAAGCCCTCAACTTATCAAAGTGATGGTTACTGTGGTGGGCTTCATTTGGTTTGATACAGCACAGTTTCTTAAATCCTGGAGAAACCATCAATGCCGAATCATATTGTAACCAAATTAATGCAATGCATCAGAAACTCTGCCACATCCTCCCTATTCCCCGCACCTCTAGCCTACGGATTATCATTTTTCTATACACCTGGACCACAACTTATGTGACAAAAAAGGTAATGGACAAAGGAAATTAGAAAATGCATTTTTGGAGTTTATCAATTCTAAAGATGGGAATTTCTATGCTGAGGGAATGGAAAAGTTGCCAACACATTTGCAGTAATATATTGATACTAGTGGAGACTACTTTGATTAAATAAAACAGTTATAAATCTTTCTTTTTAAACCGAAATCCTACATTTTTTTCCAGACAATCCAATAATAGCATAAAAATATACTTTTCTGTTATTTCCCACCAGTGAAAAAGTTGTTTAAAACAGTGAAACACTGGAACTTCAAACTACCTACAACACCCTGAAGAAGATCTGCATAGTCGGGTCGAAACATTAGCTTTAAATAAAAATTTTTATTTTTTTACTATTTTAGTCTTTTTATGACAGCCCCCCTGGACCATCTTCTTAATCAATAATATACCATGGTCAATCATCAAGTATTTAATACATAAAAAAACATATGATTACATGTAAAAAATATATATATAATCATATATATATATCATATTTGCCAATACTCAGAAAGTAGAAAGAATGTGTGGAGCTCTGCTAAATGGAAAATAAGAAAATTCATGGAACCCACAGAACTTTTTCTAGATTTGTATTCAACAGAATTTATGTGGTACCAAAAAATTAAGAGCGATGGATTCATTTACCTCAATTATAAAAGATATTCATTATTTTTATGATTGCTTTTTGTTAATAAATAACATTTCCACCATTGTTTTTAATTGTAATTTTACCATATTATAATTTAAAAAAAAAAAATTTTAAGTTTTATTGCTGGTGGGACAATAACAGAAAAATACCCATAAAAACAATTATTTTATTATAGTACTAAATAAAGAATTTTTTTTTTTCATTTTTACAGTATGTTATTAGCATATATATTAGTAATAAATGTTTAAATAAAGTTTCAGTATTCACACAAAGCGTTTTTGATCAAGGACATGAAATTTCACTTGAAATAATGGCACAGGAGAATGACCCCCTTGATGAGATTGTTTTCCCTTGGATAAAAGCGTATGTAATAGCGGACGGAGTGATAAAGCATAGAATCATAGATATTAGCCAAACAAACATAAACGCATCAGGGAAATACAAATTATTTTGCTATTTAGAGAAAACGTTATTGTCTACGTACCAATACATTTTATTTTATGCAGTATGTGTTGTCATGAAAGCAATGTACATAATTACATTAAAGTTTTTATGTTTTTGAATAGCAAAATAAAATAAAATGTAATGAAACTTAACATATTTATGTATTTACATAAAGAAATATAGTAACACAAAAAAAGATTTTTGTTTTGGTACTTTATTAAGTAAGTTAATTTCTTATATATTTTCTCTTTTTTCTGCCTTTCTCTTGTGATCTTGAACAATGAAGAGATCTTTATTGTCCATTTTGGATCTAACCGTGGGGTCTACTCTACTATTAGTGCCCCCTATTCTGACGTACTAAATGCTAATATTTCCATGAACGTTGTTGAGCCTTCTGTGTTCTTCTTTTTTCCATTCTCTGCTTCCTTGCCTTTTAAAGGCTATAGGGGGTTTTCCCGGGCCAGGGAGTGAGGATGGAAGATTAATGGCAGAGTTAAAATCCTATTGGCACCAAGACAAGAATTTAACTTCGATTATCAGGTTGCCGGGCAGCGCATGGTGCTGTGCACATGCATTAGCCCGTTCGACCACTCCGCCCCTAAAAATAATCATTTTTTTTTTCATTTTCTTTTTTCCTTCCCCCTCGCCTTTCAGGAGGATGAGGAAATATGGCAGAGTTCCCAGAGGTAGCTCCAGGCACGCATATTTTTCACACATCTCCAAAAAATTCCCAGAGTCTTCTGTGAAGACAGAGAAATAAATTTCGAGGAAACGTCAATAATTGCTTTTTAAAATTATTGTGCCAGACTACAAAGAGCATGTTTTTAGGACACTCCCTCAATAAATGAACTGGGATTTTTAGGTCTGCAGTACCAGGTATTCAACAAAGACGAGCATAATTAATTTTCAGTTTGAGGGCATCCATCCTGAGGGGGTGAGAACTTTTTTATAATAAATGAATTTATAAACCCAGAAGATTTTTTTAAAATGGGACACACCAATTCTCTGCCACTTACGTTTGTTTAAAAAAACTGTGTAATGTTCTTAACTGTAAGTGATTCTTCTATATTCTTCATTTCGATACCTAACAGACCAGTACTCTTTTGAACTTCATCCCTAAAATAAAAAATCTCAGGAAACAGGGGGCATCCATATTGGCTAATTTTTGGGAAATAGAACAGTGCTGAAGAAGAGACCCCTCAAATGAGACCACAAGTCCCTGTAGTGTTGGTACGTCATCTAACTATAATAGGTTAACTATAATAAGATTGTGATTTTTTTGTTTTCTTTAAAAAATGTTTTTTCCTTTGAAAATGGCCTAAAAGTAACGAAAACATCAGTGAATTAAAAAATAAAGTTAGACGGATCAATGTGATGTTTTATTATTAGAAATAAGAATCAAGTATTAAACAAATACATAAATACATAATACAAATACAAAGCAACAATACTATATTTTGTTCTTTTGAAAGACGTAAGCATTTAGAATTAACTTACGTGAAGAAACTGACTGAATTCTGCATAGCTCATAGACCGTTTCTTTTCTTTTCCAAAATAGAGCTTGATGAAATCGTTATCCATATCGAAAGGCAACCTCTGGTTCAGCTCAGTGTTCTGTATCACATCCGAGAATTCATCTAAAAAAAAATAAATCATTTATTTCAATGATTGGGGTGAGAAAATAATGAGAAAACTGGAGACATAAACCTTCAGGCACCTTTAATAACATTATCTTGCTGCTGAACAACATTTAAAGTCATGGGTTATAAATGATCAGGACCCAGTCATTTTTATTATATCGAGCACGGAAGGTGCTCGAAACGTCGGCACCAAAATAAACCTTAAAAATGACAGTGTCCTGACTATTTATCCATATCACATACCCATGATATGTAGAACAGTCAACTAACTTCTTTCAATAATATTTAAATTCATTGTGTTTGCATAAACACTAAAAATCTAGCAGAGGATTGCAAAGATCCAAGTTTCATCCTTCTTGATTAAACGGAAATGCCTATCATTTGGTCTTAAAGATTGCGTTGGCAGAAGGAAACAGTTTTTTCGATGTATAAACAAGCCAAAGTGACTTAAGTTTGTCTAAGAACACAAAAATTAGACTAAAGAAGAATAGAACAAATTTTTATTGAGAGATGAGTCAAAACTTGATTTGGTATCGGAAGGAGCCAGTATGTTAAATATCTAGAGTGAAATTTTTGGATGAATGTTTGCAACTAACAGTTAAACACGGAGGTGGCTTCTTAATGGTTTGTGGGTGAGTTTCTAGATCTGGAGCTGGAGACCCCTAGAGATTAGATGAAAAACTGGACGCAAAACCATAGCATACAAACATACCTTTATTTATACCTTGAGCAAACCTTTATTTTTCAGCAAGATAACGATCAGAAATATGATACTTTGCCATTTTCTTAAATAAAATTAACAATGAACAGAAAACAAAAAGAAATTATGAAATATGGAATGTTTAATTAAATAACCGCAAAAAAAATTGAAGAATTCCAGTATTAGAACAATTTACACAGATACATTCAGCTAGAGTTTATTCAACGGCTCTTGACATTAAAAATCAACATGTAAAATGTCTAGATGGTTAAATCAGTTTACAATTAAGAAGATAAAACACTTTTAGATTTAAACATACCTAGGAGTCCATCGGGACAAACGTCTAACTTGGAGTCCTCATACCAGACTGAAACGACAAGAAAAAGCTCGACGTTTCCGACTACTTCAACACTTACTAGACAAATGCTCTAACCTTCCAATTAATTAAAAAAGACTCATTTACATGACTATAATAAGGCCTATTTGGACTTACGGAGTTGAGCTGTGGGGCTCCACCAAACCTTCAAATTCCTCTCGTATCCAATCCTTACAATCCAAAATCCTTCATAAAATCCTCAATGCTCCTTACTTTGTTACAAATAAAATCATCCATAATGACCTTAATGTTCCTTATGTATCAGATTTGGCCCAATCCAGATACCTATCCTTCCATAATAAACTTCATAACCATCTCAACCCTCTCGTTTCTAACCTTGCTTCCTATTCAATTCCTGATAACCCTCCGAGGCGTCTGAAAAGAAGATGGCCACCTGATCTCCTAATATAGACATATTATTAGAGTGCTACCAATGGGTAATTTCTCAACATGTGTTTCATGTCATTATATCCATGTGCGAATTTACTAGATGTATTTTTTGTATACAATTGTAAATATTATATAAATAAATTTTTAAAAAATAAAGATTTAAACATTTATCATTTGTATAAAAATTTGGTTTGTTCAAAAACTTTTTCCCAGTACTGTATGTGTAAAATAAATATTGGAGCTATTTTCTGTTAAACACTTCGGATTAATAAGCTCTCTCACTTAACTCTCCACATTTCGGTCCTGTTTAGCGGATAAGTGTGGTTCTATCAGATAAATTAAAGCTTACCACAAAAAGCTTAGAAACAAAATAAGATGAATGCTGAAACTTCTTAAACTTAGCGGCATTTCAAATAAAATTTCCAACTTACTGAATGTTATCACCCCTTTTCCTTTAGTGTCAAACAGCTGGAAAGCCGTTCTATACAAAGCATCTGGAATGCATAACAGTCCCTCGAATGCTTGAAATTCAGCAAATGATATAAGTCTGTAAAAAGAATTAGAAAAAAATTATACTGGTCGAAATAAAAGAACTAGTTGATAGATTGAAAAATTTCAAGAAAACTTACCCATCCTTACTCGTGTCGACAATGCCCGCAAGGAGTCGTACAGAGGATTCATTGAAATTTTCATTTGAAAATAGACCCAAAAAACCACGAATGAAATCACTGCCATTCATATACCATTCACCATTTACATTTACGCTAGCATGCTGAAAATAAAATAATTATATATAATTAACAAGACAGAATTTTGATAAAATACAAAATAAGTAAGGTATTATACTTATGGTAAGTTAATAGATGCACAAACTAATACTGTAAAAAAATAAATAAAAATATATTACATTATACATATGTAGCGGTAATATCTCCTTGCCTATAAAAAAATATCACATGTTATGATGGTTAACGTTAATGAAGAGTGATAAAAAGGTTAGGTCTGGACACTAAGTTTTATATTTTACCCATATCTTTCGGCAAATGTTACTGCTTGACAATGGTGGATGGAGCAATGCACTGGCCAGAAGCTATTCTTTCACAAGTGTTTTACACCAACTGGATATCACGTTTAGGTACACCAATCAGAAACTTACTAACCACAATACAGGTTAGATGACAACTAGTAAATATCCCTGGTTTCAGTACCTTTCATATCTACCATCCCTAGCGGCTATTTTGAAGGGTTTTTCTAAAATTTTTATCATTTTCCATTAACTATCATAACATATAATATTTTATAATTGGTAATTGGTTGACTGTCGTGGATAATGAAGAGAAGAATAGATGGGGTGGTCAGTCAAAAAGGAAGGCAAAAATAAATGTTAATATTTATTTTTTACATATGCCGACGTTTCGACCTGAAGTTCAGGCCTTCATCAGGGCTAAGAAAATAACCAGATAACAAGGTATGAGAAACATAAGTAGTGATGGTAAAAAAGATAATAAAAAATAAAATAGATAAATATAAAGTAAAATGAAATTGTTAGAATAATGACTAAGAGCTAAGAGATAAATAATAAAGACCGTTACAAAATGTGGAATGATGAAGTAGGCATAATCAAAAAGGGTGACAAAAGTGTTACAATGCGAATCTTACAATTGTCGAGGAGCCAATGTATTTGAATATATCTACTCTCGGGAATGATTTTCTTTCTATGCAGACCCTGTTATTGGCTGGATTTTCAGCTTATTATCATATATTTTTTTTTATCTTCACTTACTTGTAGGCCGATCTGCTCTGCCTCTCTTATCAGAGTCGTAATGAGTTTCTCTTGATTACTTCCAAGGACAGCTATATCATCTGTGTATCCAAGAATTTTATAATTCATTCCAAAGTGGATCCCTCCATTTTCCTGTGATGTTACTCTTATTAACTTCTCCAGGACTAAGTTGAACAACATTAGTGATAGTCCATCTCTCTGCCATAAGCTCTTTCGAACTTTGAAGGCTTCAAATACTCCTCCTTGTATTAGGACTCTACATTTGGGGTCATTTGTACACGCCTTTGTCAATATTACAAACTTGGCGGGAATTCCCAGTTCAGTCATGATTTTCTAAAGACACCTCCTGTCCACAGAATCATAGGCTGCTTTAAAATCGACAAACTTGAAATCAACAGGGCGTGGACGTCCTGAGCTACTCCCCGTCATTTTTCGAGTACTTGTTTTAGGATTAAGATCTGGTCTAGCGTGCTCCTCCCTTTTCTGAATCCAGCTTGGTGGTCACATATTGTATTCTCGTAATATGGATATATACGGATATAGTAGGATATTTGTCATTATCTTGTAGAGAATCGGAAGAATTTCTATGCCCTTGTAATTACTATACTCATACATGGAACCTTTCTTTAGAATAGGACAGATTAGGCTCGTATTCCAAGCCTCCGGTATCCTTTCCTCTTCCCATATTTCCTGGATTAGTTGTAGCAGCTTGGCTCTTAAGTTGTCTCCTCCATCTTTAAACAGTTCTGATGGTAGGTTGTCTATCCTTGGAGCCTTTCTTGTTTTCAGCCTTTCGATAGCTATTTCCACATCTAGTATATCTGGTTTTCCAACCTCTTCTGGGCTAAGTTATACTTACTCAAATTTAATTATTTGTAACATTTGATTTTAATTAACAATAATGATTTACTATATTTTTAAAGAAAAGCGAGCCAGGAGGCAACTTAACACAATGAGATAATAGTAAAACAATCTTAATTGATTTAAATAACACAAAAAAATATTTTCACCTTTAAAAATATTTCATGCAAAGATTCTGTATTTGCTCTCTTCGGATAGCCGCTTGAACCAGTTGTCTGAAACAATAACAATATATAATTACTTGGTGTCCAAAAAAAATAAACAAATTATATATATTCAGAGAGATTTAAACTTTGACGAAATAATAATCAAGTCCAGAATCAAGGGATTAAAATCAACAGGGATAGGAAGAGAAAACATTATGAGTAATTAAGACTTTCAAGTAGTGATAAAATATTAATTCGTCCATTTAGAAATCGTTGGGATGGAAAAACATAACATCACATTAAGCAGAAATAGCACATCTTATATTGCCTAAAAAAAGAAAACATAATCAAAGAGAGACAGAACATAACTCCAATACAATTTCCCATATGATTATATGGTATAGTATTTGTGAAACTTGTAAAAGAAGGAAATGGAAAATAGCATATATGATAGTGATCCGAAATATCTACCCTAACAGGATCTGCAGTAATCTAGTCCTTTTTTGTTATTACTGAATAACGACCGAAAGTCTCTCCCATTAATATTTCATCAGTGGGATGGACACAGGCAGGATGAATAAGCCAAGTCTGATTCTCTTTTCTCTAACTATGGTGAGTAATAGGACACTCGGCACTTGAAAACATCAGTTTCTGCAAATTTCATTCAATAGGATAGAAATATACAAATAAAATGAGAAGTCCAAATAGCGAAGATTAGCTCATTAATTTGATCAATTATGAAGGACCAAGTATGATTTTGACCTTTCTATTCAAGTTATAATAGATGCGGTCGAACCTCTAGGACATTTGGTATTAAGTTAAACTTCCAAATCAAGTGTTCTTTCCTTAATTATAAAAAAAAATTGACGGAAAATAGTAAACATTTTATATTTGTGTTCTTTATTGATGCATAATGAATGAATCCAATGTTTGAAAACGTTTTTGTCAAAGTCAAAAATCACTGAAAAACATCACTTTTTTAAACTACCTACTAGCTAAAAAAAAGATATTTAATTTTTAAAAAAATGTTCTAGCTGCCATCCACAACCCATACCCAAGCAATTTTATAATTACAGAAATAATAAATAATATATAAATAATATATTGCAAATAATGAAACATCTTCTGGAAAAATGCCTCTAATTTGAAAAAGAATAAGCCTAGAAAAACAAATACTACAAGAATTTCTGCAGAATAGTGAAGAGCGAATCTCTAATATGTTTAAATTTTTAAAGTGTATAAAGTAATACAACAGAATATAAACTATAATAAAATGCCAATGACTCTTTAAAGAAGAAGCGAAAAAGAAAGAAAAAAAAATTTAATGTTTTCAAGTATGTGTATGTATTTATAGAATTTTATTGCATGTAGAGTACTGAAATTGCAATGTATTAGAGTTTTTATTATTTTTTTTAAATTGAAAATGAAATTATTGGAACACCGAAGTAGTTTTTCTTTTTGAAAAATGTCAAGATTATTTCATTACCTAATGCTTAAACTAAAAGACAATTTTGAAATTTTTGACTACATTAACATGATACACAAACGGTAACACTGATATCCACAAAAAATATGTATCTGGTTTAAAGCATAGCTACCTCACCTCTACCATCTCCTTTTTTTTCAAAGCTTCAACAGTAAAATGAAAAATTAATAAAAATAAAATCTACAAATTTGTTTTCTAATACCGGTAGTTTAAAACACTCTAATGAAAAAACAACGTTGCAATGGTAGTACTTCAGAAATAAGTACAATTAATCAAGATATTATCATTTGATTTTGAGATTGATAAAACCGGTAAGATAGAATTATATCCTTATAAAATAAAAAAGAATGATTATAATCAGTAAATACTTGATTTGAGGTGTACACATTTCACTGACTGATCATGTTTATATGCCATTAAGTGTTTATTTTAATGACCATGATAAAAGCAGCACTAGGATAATTTAAAAACCAAATTTAACATAAAAAGCTCGTCTTTTTTTTTATTGATAAAATTATACAGATCATAAACAAGAAAAGAATTCATTCTCTCCATTATTAATACTATAAAAGATTGTGGCAATAAATGCCATTTTTATTTAAGAAGATCTTAAGATATTTATTAATTTTGACAAATGAAAAATTTAAAAAAAAAATATCATTGCTTGATTAAACTTGAGTCTTTATAGGTCAGACGTAAAGTTTAGACAATATTATAGTTACCCCGGTTCGAACCATTTTCGAACAAGTATTTGCAGTTAATAACACATTAAACTATAATTAAAATTAACTAAATTCCACTCTAAATAAAAACAATACTATTAATAATTAACAAATAGAACCAATTGTATAATACAAGAGATAATCAAATAAACTCACGTTTACATCACATGACCTCTAATCTTTATCTTATCAGTTGAAAAATAACTGTATTTCATAATAGTAACGAAAATGTTATCATAAGGTGGCAATTTTTGACGTATAAATATTCAGGTGATATGAATACCATTCATAAAAAACCAAATAAGAAAAAAAAAGAAATATAAAACATTTATGAGTAGTAAATATTTCAGAAAGAATGTCTGTAATGACAAATTATTCAAATATTAAAGACAAAATCAAACAGGCTAATGAAATTAAAACATATATTTTAAGTAAATGTATTATATTAAATATAAAATCATTACAGCTAGAATTAAAATTAATTTTTATGTATACAAATATACAGCACAAAAAAAAAATAATTAATCCAATAAAAAAATAGTATTAGTAATATTAATTACTATTTATTGACATAATAAGTAGTATTAAAAAAGAGGAATTAAAAAGTCGAAGTGATAAGAAAAATAATATATATAATCAGTTATTAAAATAAATCAGTTTCTAACTAAGAAATCACAAACAAATTAAAGGAATTACACTCATTTCTAATTACCATAAAATTACTAATAACAAAAAAGTAAAAATAATTACAAATTAAGTAATGATATACAAATTACTTGAATGAATACGAATAATTGCTTTCTTTTCCAATATAAGTCCAGTTTAATAAAGAAAACAATATTTTATCCTTCAATGAATCATGAATCATCCACCAATCATAATTTACTCTCATCCTTTATATTATTCTTCCTTATTATATTATACCTCTGACCTTTACACTCCTTCCATGGACTTGCCTCATTTCTGTTCCACCACAATTTGCAATTCAATCCTCCTTTTAAAATCTGCCATGAACCATCCTTATCCACATTTAAAACTCTCATATTCCAATTCCTCTTCACAATTTAATCTCAGGTTGGCTAATTATTAATTATATATAAAAAAAAGTATCACCTAATTTGTTATTATATATTCTTCTTCTTCTCTTGGCCCTACTGACCGAAGTGGTCCCTGACCTGCTTCAACATCTGATCCACCACCACACAGATGCCCGCCTGTCTCATATCCTCTTCCACCTTCTCACTCCATCGAGCTCTTGGCCTGCCCTTTGCTCTAGTGGTAAAGATCTTCCCTTTGTATACTTTCTTCACCTGTCTGTCTTCATTCATTCGGCTGACATGGTCAAACCATTTCAGCCTGCTTATTTGTATGAAATATGACAAAGACAGATCATTGTAGATGTTGTATACTTCTTTGTTCTTCCTACTTCGCCACACTCCGTTCTCAAGCACTCCACCAAACATTCCTCGCAGCACTCTCCACTAAAGCCTGTCACAGGTTATCTTGTGCATTACGTTTTTTCCTGCCTCCTTTTTCAAGTTAGCCTATGCCTTTTTGATTGATTGCGTACTTCTTTCCAAAATCACTACATCATCTGCATAGGCCATTAATTGCAGTGATTTATGGATGATTGTATTATTATTAATAAAAAAGTATCATCTAATTTATTATTATATATTAAGATATATTAAAAAAAAAAAATGATATTACAGCAGATCTTCGTAATGAATTAGGTTTACTATCATATATTTTGTTGTATTTTCATTAACTTGTGAGAAAATTTACACACATACTATACCATATAATCAGTATATATATGGGACTGTATTGGAATTATGTACTATTTTTTTTCCAAATAATCCTCTACCTAATTTTTGGCATACAGGTAGGGGTTGTTCAGCAGGTACAACCAGAGATGGGCGATAGTCGATAATACTATCGATATATCAATAGCTTAAAACTATCAATATCCCTATCGATATTACTAGTGACTATTGATAGTTCCTATCCTCTCCTTAGACACAAATTATATTCAAATTTTATACACTTAAAGGAATAATTTTAATAACACACCTTCATACTTCTGCCCATTCATTAATGTACGAGATACAGAGATAATATAATAATATAAAAGTTAAATGTTTGATAATGGAAAATTGTTATTGTTTAATGAAAACACCACATTAAGAAAATAAATGGATGAGCATTTTTAAAGCTATTCTTATCAATATATAAAACTGAAATAAAATTGAACAAGAAGAAGCCTTCATGGAAAAAAATAAGTTAATCTCAAATTACTTTCTTAGAAATATTTTTACATTTCCAGTTGTGGCGATGGGAAAAAAAAATGTATATATAAAATATACAAAGATACCACTACAATTTTATAATATTTCAAGTGCTAATACCAAAATAAGTTTAGAAAATTATAATCTTGGAAATTAAAAGATATAAGCATTTCTCGCTACCTTTTTTCTAGTAAATAGTTTTTAAAAATACTACTTATACATCGTTGATGTTTCTTGTTTGAATTCTACAATCAGAAAAATAAATGCAATTTATTTTTCTATATAAATGTATTTTCTCGTCAATGTTTTTTTTAAATTATTTATTTAATAATTTTTATTAGTGCCTTGACATAAATCTTTAAGGATGTATCCAATATAAATGTTAATTATTATAAAGTTCATGCAACATTTTTAAGTAAATAACTAAAGAATACAACAAAAATAAATCCTCTTTAAGTCTGTGTCGGGAAGTTACCAAACTATCGATAGTGGAAAACTATCGACTACCGCCCATCCCTAGGCACAACCAAATAGGTAGAATAGGTACAATAAAACCTATTCTAACCAGAGTGG